AGCAAAATGCCAGGCTGTCCTTCACTTCCAAATGCCACAAACAGTGTTTGCCTACTGCCACATTACGACATATAAATTGCTCACAGGTCTCTGGCTATTTCAGACAGTGCAATGGCTGTATATCGTTTTTAATAAAGAGCGACATTGTTTTACAGCTCTCCCTGCCGACGCAACATGGTAAACAGGTTAATTAAACAAACAACATGCTACTGGGATGTTTGTAGTTCGAACCGATTTATTCGATTTAACGCCGATTCGATTTAAGTTTAATATTTAATTCACTAGGTATGATTTATTATTCATTAATCATCCTTAATCTTCTAATATCTACTAAATATATCTGTATCGTTTTTCATTACTAAATTTCCTGCAGTTTTATATCTGATAGTCTGTAATCAAAATGTTAGCATTTTATATAAGCGAAAAAGAAATCAACAGTAATTCTAACGGTGTTAAACTGTGTGCGCGTACCCTTCTTTGCCTTGCTATATACATATTTTTAGCTTTTCCTCAACTGTCTTCATACAATCTATAAAGATAATTACGGAGAAGCTTAAGTCAGTTGAAAAGCCAATTAAGTTTAATTATATTGAGAAGATATTTGATAAATTCCTTTATGAATAGTGACTGAAGGAAACATTGAAAATGTGTTATACCGTTCCAAACGATATTAATTCCAAATTATTCGGAACATTTGAAAGGCACTTTGATAGCAAAATTAAATTTTGAATGAGAATCAATTAATTTATGTTTGAATAAGAGAACCGATAACTGTTCGCTTTACGAATCATTGAAAATGGTCCAAGAGCCCAGGGCCGCCAGACATTATTTATTTTTGAGTAACAAAATATATCATACAGATTAGTGTTAGACTATACTCTGAAGGTAAACATACCCGCTAGCTTGGGCCGGCGGCCAATTTACAGGTACCAGGTACTAAAGGTACATAAAAACATCGCTCACTTTTCTTAAATTCTGAGTGCTGTGATTTTTTTACATATTTGGAAAATTTTATTAGAAATTTAAAATCAATATTGCCAGACAGTCTTCGTCGGCGATTATTTCCGCCAGACGGTTTAAAGTATGCAAAAAAATAAGGTGAGTAATAATAATACTAATCATAACTCTTGCCTCCCTTAACTGGCTACGCTTCGGTGACCTGTTTGGGGAAACCGAAGGTTTTGTCTGTGCGATACAGGATCAGGTTATTAAGACGAACAACTATCGGAGATACATCCTAAGGGATGGCACCGTCGACATCTGTCGAGCTTGTCGCCGTCCCGGGGAGTCGCTTTGGCATATTACCTCCGGTTGTTCCATGCTTTCTAATTCTGAGTATCTGCATAGACACAACCTAGTAGCCAGAATCCTACACCAGGAGCTCGCTCTGAAATACGGTCTCGCAGATCGGAAACTGCCGTACTACGAGTACTATCCGGAGGCCGTGCTTGAAAATGACCGCGCCAGGCTCTATTGGGACCGGCCCATCATCACGGACAGGACAGTTCTAGCGAACAAAACTTGATATCGTGTTGATGGACCGGGCACAGTCACGGGTATTTTTGGTTAACATTACCATTCCATATGACGAGAACCTCGTGAAAGCCGAAAAAGATAAGAAGACGAAGTATGTGGACCTGGCTCACGAGGTGACCGACATGTGGGGTGGTGTGCCGACCGAAATTATCCCGATAGTCGTGTCTGCGAATGGGTTGATCCCAGTCAGACTCTCCGGACATCTGAGGCGACTGGAACTTTCAGTCTGAGTCTTGTTTTTTACATATGATATTTTAGAAACTATTTCAACACTATTTGCATTTTTTTTTATGTGAAAAGTTGCCAAACGAGCAGACGGTTCACCTGATGGTAAGTGAATACCGCCGCCCATGGACATCTGCTACACCCGAGGGTTACAGATGTGTTGACAACCTTTTGAAAATTGGGCTCCGACTACCTCACTCACCAGACGAAACGCGAAAGTATATGTCATACTTCCACTTTACGCCGGTCTTCTGTGAGGTCGTGGTACCCACCCGGACGGGCCTGCCCATTCGTGCAACAGCCGAGGCTGCTGCGTGGCCCTACCACCGTTAAATTGCATGCAGCCAGACAAATTGTAGGGGCCAAATATCCGCCAGACATATTTGGAATCTCGCCGTGAGTATGAACGCGCACGTAATGTTTTCGAGGTTTTATATCACAGGCCCATTAAATTAATATTTTTCATCTTGTAAAATTTCTGAATAATAATTAAACCATATTTTAATGCTCAATTACAAATTATAAATTTTAGTGTGATAGATTGTTAACTTATGAGCGGAAAGGTTCATACTATTATATGTATTACTAATATATGTATATACTAATGTGAATTTACCGCCGGCCCAAGCTAGCAGGTAGGTATATATACATTCAGAGTATACTCTAACACTACTCTGTACGATATATTTTGTTATTCACAAAATAAGGAACGTCTGGCGGCCCCGGGCTCTTGCTCTAAAATGAATAGTAAGAGATTATATATTCCAAAAAATGACAAATTAAACGAGATTTTATATTTAATTCGATATTTGATTGATTTTGGTATTTTTGGAGAATGCGAAATTATTCCATTTAACTGAAATTGAAATCTAGCAGCGAATATGAAAAAAAAATTAAAAGCAAACCCATACAGATTTAAAGCTTTTAGTTTTAGAACTATGTAAACATTCTTTTAGCTTTATTTTTAAATGTTCGTATTCGACCAAATATTCGATGATTATTTCGAATAATTACCGAATATTTCAATAGAATAATTTTTAACACTTACGCATGTTTAAGTTGGCTTCACTCTGAGAACAGTGCATAGGTACCATACATGAAAGAAACAAACACATTTTTGTGTAGTTTTAAACAAATTCAGATTGTGTTTAAAATATTTTTTCTTTTCATTATATTTTATGTTTATGTTCACCAAATTATTCTGTAAATTTAACATTTTTAAAATACGTTATAAAATAAAAAAATATATTCCTTTCATATATTAAATTTTTGTATGAATTCAACGTTCGCTTAGTGTAATGTAACCTTTATTAAGCTGAAATGATCAAATTTATAAAAGAAATACCTATTTTAATTTTAATATAATGTAGGCGTTACTTTGTTCAATCTGTTCAACATAATAATTCAGAAATCTTAGAAAAGAGGTGGGTTGGGGTTGTTATGTTCCCATTAAAGTATAGATGTTTACTCAAATGTTTTTTATTACCTCAACACAATATACCCGGGTCGCGCCTAACCACAGTACTAAGCCGAACTATATTTGACACCAAAGCAATATGACCGACTTAACGAGTCCACACTCGACTAAAAAAGACCAGTAAGGGGACAGTGTTGATTCGTTAACCCGATCTTTCTTATTTTTGATAGACGCTAAAAACCCCGATTCGATTCAAGTGCCTCTTTTCCATAGTCAATAAATATCGAAAGAAAGATTTAATGGCAAAATTCTTGGTATCGACTTTACTTATGCATGACTACATTATAACAAAACTACAATATTGGTGCTTCGCATTCCTGTAAAAACTATTGGACTGAATATTCAAAGAAATATTACGGAATAGTATTCGGTCAAACCCAAATTTATTTATTTGTTAATGCGTAACAAATATACAACATATTCGGCGCATCTCTACTTTTATGATGAAATAATTTTGTATCTATGGATACTATTAAAATTACTTTAAGGTATTATAAAAAAATAGGACACCACCACCATATGCATCTGTATGCACCGCCTTTATTAATGCAGTATCGATTGCTACGTTTATATTTGCCTTATAAAATATTCTAGGTCTTGGCTATTTGCTGGAGAAAGGGTAAACTAGGGCAGCTCCAACTAGAGCGTGATCGACAGGTCCGTAAAAGATGTTGGAATTATTAAACATTCCTAGTACATGATGCAATTAGCCATAAATAGAGATGAGTACGTTGAAAAAAATTAATAAATTAATGTATTACTCAGGTACTTGTTATAAAAACCGGTCAAGTGCAAGTCGGATTCGAAGGAGTCAGAGGATTCGGAGTCGACTTGAATCCGACTCAGATAATGGTGTCTATAAAAACGGCCAAAAAATCGTCTTTTGTATGGGAGCCCCACTTAAATATTTTTTATTCTGATTTTTAGTATTTTATTGTAATATCAGCGACGGAAATACATCATCGGTGAAAATTATTTTAACTGTCTAACTATCACGGTTCATGAGATGCCTGGTGACAGACGGACAGACAGACAGACAGACAGACAGACAGCGAAATCTTAGTAATAGGGTTCCGTTTTTACCCTTTAAGTATGACACCTTAAAGCTGCAAAAAGGTGCGACAAGTTCAATTGGAACCGAAAACATAAGAAGAGCGTTGAGACATCTTCCATGAAAATTCCAAATAAACATGAGCATGTACAGTTACTGAATTTCGTGACACCGTCCGTCCGTGTTCTCTACCCGCTATACTCAGTCCAATCACGATTTGACACGATAATTTCGGACGCACGCGCATCTACTAAACATCGGAAGTAGCACCGGCGCAGACATAGACCCGGGCGGCATGTGTAACACAAAAGACGTTACGTAAGGCGCTTTCTTCAACCGTGTTCCTGGCGTAACGACGCCGGGTGATGCATTACAAGCGTTACAATACTGCACGGCCATTAGCATGCGCAATCGCGCGCTGCAAGATTGACGTCGCCCGAGCGCAATTCGTTTTTAATTGTTCCGAGCGTTGCCCGCATCCTGGCTGGAAGGGCATCGGTTTTGCAGTTTTGGTGTGTACTCAATTGGCCGTATCGTAACGGCCTGGGATGTTAGGACTCCGGCCGGTGTCACGATTTACACAGCGTTTTTAGGCACGGAGTTTGTCATTGTTTTTCCGTGAGCAAACGCATTCGGCATTCGTTATGAGATGTGAGTGATGCATCGCGGGTGCATTGGTGTAATACTGTCTTAATTGTAAAACTATTTCAGAACAACGACACTGTGGCCACCCGGCAGTGCCGCCTAATGCAAGGGTGTTGCTGTCGAACAACGCAGAGATCACCCCCGGGGCAGTCGTAACCTACGAGTGCGATTTAGGATACGAATTGTTCGGAGCACATCAGAGGGAGTGCACTCTGAGAGGCGATTGGACCGCTGAACCGCCGTTTTGTGGTAAATACCTTCGCTACTCGATGCAAACTATTAAGTTATTTACGTAATCTAATTGCATAAAAAACGCTAATCGTCTTTTGTGTTCAATGTTCTCATTAAAAGCCGTAAGAAATTCAGAACGAGTGATCTGTCGGTGAGTCTTTGTGAATGTCTTTGTGTTGGCAAAATCAACAGAAAATTTGTATTACCATATAATAGAGTTATAAATTAATTTAATGTCAGAAATAATAGCTAATTAACAATTCGTGTTTCATACCGGAAAAACACATTTTATGATTAACAATTGGTCTTTATTTGTAATGTTATGATTACATAATATTAATGATTCCACTGTTTTATATTGTGGCAAATGCAGGAAAATTAAACAGGAACAGAGGTTAAATATAATTTGCCATTTTTAATTGATAACGAAGGGTTGTTAATACTAGTAAATATTTAGTATTTGTCAATGTCTTGAGATAGAAGAAAATAAAACCAATTCATTAAAATATTAGGCGCGTGCGGTTTATGATTCAACGATCCCGTTAAAAGAAAACCTTTAATCCAGAACAATTCCCACAATTGAAGCGAAGAGAAGCAGCTTCGAACATTCCCTTTTAAACCTTTTTATCCAATTATCTCTACCCAGGTACGAACGTCGCGTTCAGGAAGCCTGCAAACCAGTCAACCACAGTTCGCGGAGGAGCAGCGGCGAACGGTAACGACGGTGAAAAAACGACCGAACATGATGGCAAGAGATGCACGGAGACACAACGCGAGGCCTCTCCCTGGTGGCAGGTAGACTTGCTCAGACACTACGCTGTCAAAGTCGTGAGAGTCACCACAAGGGGATGTTGCGGTAAGATAACAGTATAAAGTTGAATATGGCTTTTTAGTTATTCATTTTTAATTTCACATTTCATTTGGAAGATAATAGTTAACAGTTCTATGTTATGTGTAAATAACTTCAGTGATATCTCATCAAGACACCGATTAAAATTTAATTAATTATCTGTACAAATTAGATATTAATTAAACTGCTATTCACTGGCTTTGAAGTTATGCATAATTATATTCAGGTGACCGCAACTACTCTCAAGCTCATTTAATATGTGGTTACGATGTTAGAGAGAACATTTTCATTTCATTCATTACTAAATTTTGCCCAATGCTAAAAGGGTGCACTGGCGTGGAATTTGTAATCAATTATATACTGTTACATATGTTTATCACTTAGTTTCATAGAATCATAATGTTGAATTAAAAATTCGTTTAAATTCAGTTTTAGTACCAAAGTGTAAAAGTTAAGTGGCGTTTTTCAGCATCGAAGTCTCTACCAAATAAATACACTTGTACGTTTGAAACAAACATCCACTGATTACATTAATTTAATAGGCCTATCAAAATGTAACAACTCTTAACGTCCAATATGCTTGGAAGTACTTAATGATAATGAGGGTGAGAGGCATTAGGCCTAGAGACGTTGGACAATCGTGACGCAACCACACTCACTCATCTAAAAGTGTCGTTGTACTTACGAGCAATAAACTCGAATAAATCACCCGTCTGGCCAGCGCCGAGATCACGCAATTGCCTCGCGTGTTACAGAGTATTGTTTCCGTATTCTAAGATATCTTACAGCGCTAACACCTACATCTTAACGAAGTCATAAAAGTTCTTTAAGAACTCATAAATTCAATTTTCAACCTTCGGAATCAAATCGAGACCTTCCAACAAGATCTAAACAGTACGTGTACATAACGTTCCAAAGTAAGCGTCAATAAGTTTATTGTTACGCTCACATTGAAAATTTATTCGGTCACGAACATGGATGTGCGGACACAAATATTTGGCGAGGGGTCTTTCTCGCACTATTACGCTGCGGTGTCGCGCGCACCGCCGCGCTTCGTCACAGTCGACAGCGCAATTTCGTGTCGCAACCAAGGCGTTGGAGCTGACATGCCTTGTGTGCGTACGACATGTTTGCAAAATCGATCGCTTTAAAGCAACAAGATTGACATCTTGCACATCATGCTTTCTAAAAGCAAACAGTGTCTCTATTACACGTGGAATGGAATACTATAAAATTATATAAAAGTAAAAAAGTAAAAAGAAGTAAAAAGTCTCAGCATAGGCTGGATAGCATAGGCTGAACATATATAGATATGTCCCACTGGTGGGCAAAGGCCTCCTCTGTACAGTGGGTATCAGGGCATAGTCCACCACGCGGCCACGGCGGTTTGTTATAATTTCGAAAAAATGCAGGTTTCCTCACAACGTTTTCACGATGTTGGCACTTAAAATTAACAATTTCATTGGTGCTGGCAGCGGGGATCGAACTCAGGTTGCTCGAGTGCATTGAATTCAAGCCGAACGCCCGGACACTGAGCTATCACGGCGCTAAAAATTATCTCGCAATTTTTCTTGACATTTTCTAACTGACACCGCTGCACCGGAGACGCGGCGACGTACCGAAAGTAACGGAAAATGAAATGTATTATGTCGTTATAAGCTATGCTAGTAAATATAGAATTGAGAATTTTAACAAATTAATACACGTAGTTTGTGCTATATTAATATTCAGATGTTGTTTTATGAAACATATTAAGAAAAGTTTATTATTTTATTTTTAAGTTACACAAAAAAAACTTCAATAAATTTTGTGGGACACCTATGATTACAGCAAAATTTCAGAGAAATTAAAGCAACAAGAGAATAAAAATATGTCAATTGCAGGACACCAACCGCTTCAAGATCTAGAAATTCGTGTCGGCAACAGCAGTACAGATCTCCAGAGGAACCCCCTGTGTGCATGGTTTCCAGGAACTATAGGTAAATCGATTTATTATTTAACAACACAACATTCAACTGAGATATTATTTTACCTTTTAAATAACCTCGTTGCCGCACTCTTAGATGCACTGGCAGGTAATTTTAGATATTTAAATTCTAACAAAGATCTATCAACTGCTCGCTGGTGACTAAGAAGTGCAGTCAATCATCCGATTATAAGTCTCACCTCTTAGATAGAATAATTATCTAATTATTAGAAGTTGACATATATTGTGTCTCTGTTCTATTAAAAAGAAAGATAAGACAACAAATATTATAAATAAAGAGTAAACATTCTATTTACGTGAACAAAGATGCACAGTTTATTATTCCAGAGAGCCCACTTTTCCATCGATCCTTGCCCTGGCACGAAATGGACTGAGCTAGCCTCCCACCGTGAAAACAGACAATATAATTGTTCGGTTTCATTGTTTTATGTCCTTCGACGTACTTTTGTCTTTTATTAAATAGGCATTCATACACCCGAATCAGAGAAAATGGATCTAATTAAATTAATTAATAATATGCCAGTCATTAAACAATTATTGACATCTTAAAATAATTTGATATGACCCAAAAAAAGCTGAACAGTCATTCTCTATGTCAACTATGTACACGGGATTTTTTTAATAAGTTTTTAATTAGCGTCTAGTAACTTTATATATACTAACACTGCGATTATTTCAACTTTCAATTGATATAAAAGGTAAAGAAAGTTTATTTGATTTGCCAATGTGTGGCATTGAGTGGAAAATCCTAAAACGTCACCGTTGACTCATGCTTTACAAAATGCATCAAACAGTATCGAACTGTGTTCAAGAGCGAAGATTTTCATTGACTTTTTGTTGGTACTCTATGATGCCTATTTTTAAAGCCCTGAAAAGGGAACGATGTCGTAACCAGGGCCATTGAAGCTCTTTAGTAACGAACAGCTTGTTAACATTATAAATTTAATGCTTTACGATCGAGAACGAGAGAAACGGTCCGCCTAGGTTACATACTAATGTGTATGTACGAGTATTTTCATTTTAAACATTAACGTAAACTAAAATAAATAATGCATTTAATGCAAGCGCTAACTGTACTTCAATAAAAACAAATTAATGGCTTATTTACATAACCTTTAAAATTACTTTCAATTTGCTGATAAAACGCCGCCCACACACTGTTTTAAAATGATTAATAATTGATGTTTTACCGTTCGAATTTCAGGATCATAAACGTTTATTTGCAGCCGAGTGCAAAAACGAGAACAATATATAATATATATGATGTTACATTAATGCCGTTTTAATTTTAAAATCTCATTTCAAAGTCGTTTAGGCTGCGTCTTGAACAGAATTTTAATTTGAAAGTAACAATGTAGAATATTCCGTCGAGAGAATCCTGACTGAGTCGTTCACAACCAATTTTATTTATACAAAAAACTGGTCATCGGTATCGCTTCTGGCGGTAGGCGTTATGTAAATAAATAGCTGTAAAGTAAATGCACTAGCTAAGTAGAAGCCTTATGAGCCGTGCCTTTAAGACGCCATAGTTATAATCGAAAATGTACCCACGGTTCATTTATAATGCAAATAAAATTACAAATTTAATGTAATTATCATGTTTCGTATGTCATCAAATGCAAAAGCACTATCAGTCGATCAAATAAACAGTGGAATGCTTAATTGCATTATATTTATTACCAAGTATTCAGATGCATCTTCAACAGGTATGCTATCCATTTCGCTACAAATGTGGTGTTCAAATATTATTTGTTCTACTGATGCTACTACTGCGGAGATATTTTTTTATCAATAAAAAGAAAGTTGAAATCATGTCGCGGCAGTTCTCATGCTCTCTCGCAGGAATATACGCTCAGTCGCAGCGCAAACCAGTATATAAGTGGGTTAATGATGTGTGCCTCGCATTATAATGATGTTGTCATTGCATTTTATAATGATAATGAAACTCAGCCTTTCCTGATATTTTGCACTGGAATTCGTACGCGCTCTGTTAATTACACATCCAGTTATAATATTGGAGTTAGCCTTTCCATTCTGGTATTTAATTTGACCTATTGTTTCGTGTATTGCGTTTACTTGTTTTTATAAACCTGCAAACTTGATAAGGAAACGAAAAATGAATAATATTATTGAATATTTGATAGTCTGTATTTCCGCTCCAGCGTTCTGTCGCGAAAGGTAACGCAAGGTTGCTATAATTGTGCGAGGTGCAAACGCAAAGTTCCTGTTTCTACCGGAAGTTGGAAATTTTAAATTTATTACGTTCCTTTGAAAGAGATAAGTCGTTGGCCTATTTGGAAATTCTAAATTTACATCTGCAAAATAAATTCTATGCATGGCTCTGAACAAACCTTCAACTCAAGTAATTATTCAATATGTATTCAGTGGTCATTTCCTGTTCCAATTACATGAGCTATCATTTGTTTGATACATCGTTCTTTGTGTTCATTTAGCATGAATGTCGAAAATGTCGGTCAACAAAAATGCGCTATCAACCTACCACGAGTAAATTATATAAGTATATATGAATATATTAAACCGATTTGCGTAATTCAACATCAAATCCGTTACAGACACTAGTTAATTAGTCCAAGAACTCTTGGGAACGGAATTGTTATGGCTGAAAAATGGACAAAAATGGATGCAATAAAAATATAACACGTTCAAGAACTTTTATTTTTGCTAATGACGCGGACTGACTAGAAACAACGTAATCGCATTATTATTACGTGCTGCTATTGCAAAGGATCACACGTTCTATTATATTTTTATATAAATATTATCAGTAGCCTTGGATAAACAACATTAACCCCCGAAAGCCTTAATCAACTTACGCTTTCTTTACGCCGCGCCGAAAACATCCCTTAGTCTCTTAATTGAAATACTAATTGACTTACAATATGTAGTCTTAATGAGATCCTACAGATAATTTAATTTCAAATTACCTTTGAAAACAATAAATTCTAGATAATTAGGTCGATTCTTATACATTTGAAACATTCGGTTTTATATGAATATATGAATAAATCATAAACCCCTAAATAAAACTTTGCATAAGGCATATTTGGTTATTTGATTTTTTCAATGAGACGTGCGAATATTTTTCTTGAGATATAAACCTCAAGAAAAATATTCGAAACGCTCATAAATTATATTGAAAACACTTTACTGTTCGTAGTCTACCGCCCGTCAACTTATAACTTAAGTCGGAATGATCAAGAGTAACCCACTAAAATGTATTAATACATTTATTGCATATTATTTAAACGTATATGGTATTAATATGTTTAAAAACCTAAAAAATCTATAAAATCCTTCACTGAATGATTGAAATTAAGTTTCTAATTTTATAACATTATTACAAACACGGAAGGTGTTACTAAGAAAAATATCTACTTGGAACAGCTTGTTCAAGAATGTCGGAAATAGTTTCGTTGAATAAATTCTTTCCAGTTATTCCCTCGAGAGGCCATCCTCACAAAGGTTGCACTAAGTAACTGCACTTACGAATACGAAAAAGGTATTCTTTTCATTTTATCTTTGAAACTCAATTTGTAGAGACAATGACACAATGAACTCTAGATATACATATATGAGATATACATATATTGAGAGCTCGGCAGTTGCAAATGTTTGCTATGACGTCATAGTTCGGATAAACATCCATGCGGTTTAGTTTCGAAATAAAACGCGTAAGGATTATTACCTATGTTTTCTGCAACAACTTTATGAAGGAGTTTAAGCAATACCGCATTACACACTGTTTTATGCTACCTTTCGCGAATTAGTAGCCCGAAAACTTTATTACAGACGAAGGCGTTACCAAAACGTTCACATGTGCACGCCCGTTGATTGGTCAGCACGTGTTCTTGCAGCTGGTCGGTGTGGAGGGTTCCCTGTCGCTTTGCGAAGTGGAAGTGTTCACAACTGAAGGTAAGACGATGCACAGTAATTAGCATTTCTAAGCAATTCGATTTCATATTGTATTCTGAAACAGCATATTTATAAAGGTATTTTAGCTACGTTAAGAGCATTCTTGAAATTTTGCTTGTGTTGAAAGTGGCATTCTTACCTAGAGGTTTAGGTTGTTCTAGCAAAATCAAGTGCCTGTTGAAAGTTCAAAATGGATTCATTGTTTTTATCCCCTTTACCATATTCGCATAATAATTGTTGGGATATTCTTTGACCTTCATGTACCCCATGACGAATAATAACTAAATTGTTAATAACTGTTAACTTAGTGTTAATTATTTGGTAATTTTCGTCACCATTTAATAAAATAAAATATCATTTAAGATTGTGTGAATGAAGCATATATATACGGTAACTACTTGATCACTGGCCTTAATAATTAAGTTTCATAATTTTTTTTCGTTATACCTTTCATTGATAAGTAATTTATTACAATATATTAGATCTCTACACTCTGCCAAATATACAGAGGTCTTTGAATTCTATTCACTGTTACTAATATCACTACTATTAAATTTAATTAATTCTTAATTCCATAAATTAATGATAAAAAAACTATACAAAAAATGTGACAATAAAATAATACCGAAGTAAGCATTAAGGACCGTGAATATAGTAAAACAATGGTGCAAGTATCCGAACTAGTTACTGTGCAAAAAAAACTTCATAATTAAATTCTTAGTATTATAGAGTAGCGATAAAGTATTTAACTTCATTATCCCAGTAAACTCTTGATAATGAGGTTAAATAAGTTGTGTAGTGTAAGACTTCTGATTAAATTAACTAGAACCTGTCTGAAGTTTTATTACCTAAAACTTCTAAGAAGCTGACACTTCTACAAAGTGTATTTGAAGCATCTGCTCGGGTATGTTACTGAAACTTTATGCAGCTTCAAATTTCGTAGACTGAAATTTCTAAGAATAACAATTCGTACAAGAGTGTATGTTAAATCATAGTCCGCATAACAGCCGAACTCACTGTTCTCGTACTAATGTTTTTGAATATAGTTCCTGACGATAGATATTCTGTTATGCTTGTCTCTGAAATATCAGATAATGAAAAATATTTTTTATGTGAGAAGGTGGCGGATGTTAAGTGGTAACAGCGACCCATGGACATTTGTTACGCCCGTAGGGTTAGAGATGGGTTGCCGTCTTTTCATTAAGTAATCAGGAACTTGATGCAGTTTCGCATCTTTCTTATAATTAATTAATCTGATATAAATTATTTACATTGTAACAGTAAAAAATTAATGATTCCATACCAATATTTAAACTGTCGTGTGAAAAGTTTAGAAGTCGAATATAAGTTCAACGTTTTATACGTTTATAATAAAAGATTATATACGCAATCAATTATCGCTATCGAAATTCCAGTAATTGCTGTTTACCGACCAATTAAGACGACAGGATGATGGACAGGCGGATGAAACAATTTTTAATTAATAATAGTATTATTTTTATTGTGGAATAGGTGGACAGGAAAGGTCATATAACTGAATTACACAAAGAATTTTCAACTGCAATAATCTCTTTCATTTTTCGTTATTTGAGGGTTAAACTATTAAAGGCAATACTGAAAGTCATTCGGTAAGTACTCACGTATTAGTACGAAAATGTTTAATCATACACGTAATAAGAAATACATACATCAAAATCCCAAAATGGAGTCACTACGAGTACTTCGAAACTATTTATTTTTAAGATCTATTTTTTTATGGAATTATTGCCCTTACTTTAGGATAACATTATTTCGTGTTGTTTTACAAACATAAATTACGCGTGGACAAACACGGAGATGCGAGACAGCTATCTGTCGGTTACACCAATAGTTGTTCCGTGTGGAAATCGAACTCACGATCCCCCCGACGCCAATGCCAATACCTTGGCAACTGCGCCGCGGAGTTATCTAGATTTACGCCCGGTTTCTGAAACACTCATCATCGTAGATGTCAACTAATCATCTGTCAAATGGATTTCAAATTGCAATTTAGGTACCACAAGGATGGTTAAATACTCTGAATTTTCCAGAATGATCTTCTTTATGATGAATGATCAATTCAAAGAGTTTAAAAATCCTTTTGGCAACTAAAATGAAATTTGAAATTCATTTGACAGCTGATTAGTTGACATCTACGATGATCAGTGTTTGAGAAACCGGGCGTTACACTATTGAAATAATACGTCAGATCACCTTCATATTAGCAAAGTCTTTAGTCACTTTTTCTTTAGTATTAATGAATCCATTGATCACGGATGGTAATGTAAATACCATTGGGGCCGTCCACTTATCACGTGAGGCTCGAAATGGGGGAGGGGGATAGGCAAAAATCATGAAATATCATTAGGGGGAAGGGTCGGTGTAGTAAGATATCACGTGTATTTATTTTTTCGTCAAACGCGCGATTTCTAAACCGAAAAGCAGTAGTGTGATCGCTGCGCGCCGGCTGGTGCGTCTGCAGACATCGAGTTGGCAGCCTTCTCACGCAATTGCTACGAGTTCAACGTGGCCAAGGGCGGCTCCTTTGACGAAGCGCGCAAACAGTGCCAGTCGCACGGAGGTGACCTCATACACGGATTCCAAGTAAGTTTCCACTGACAAGAGTAAATCTACTTCTCTTATTTTCGTATTCTTTTTTTTTTTGTTCTTTAACCTTGTGTAACCTCGCAGCAAATGAAGACGGAATTATTATAAATGTCTAGAATAGTGAAAATATTTACATTGTGCAATAGTTTTATAATAGGTACCAGTTGCTTTAAAAGCTAGAGCTAATTAGCCTTAGACTTTTCGATACACGTTATTTCTAGGATTCCTGAAGAAAATTAGGAGAAGAATGTAACTTTAAATCATACCTTAAATCGTAATAAATGACATTTTCCATACTGAACGAAACTATATTTGTCATAAAATGAAAATGAACTAAGATGACAACTCAAACAAAAATCCGTCAGCCACTAGAAACTTTTCTCATAATGGATATTGTTCAACCTGGAGCGTACTTGAAGCTTTTTCTTATAATAACATTCACTTCACGTTGAAGACGTGTAAATCGTCTATTCTCGTAATTGCGGAGTATATATATTTTTTTATATATCAATATATTTTGTTACCAATAGACGTTCAAATAGAAACGAGAACTATAGGAACTTGAAAACCTTAATCTCGTGTTTGACAGATCAGTGTAAAAAACTTATTTTTTTTTAAATAGCTTGAAATATAATTCATAAAAACAATTTTAGGGTGCGACATCGAGTTATTTAATACAAGAACTGGAACGACGCAAGGCTCAACTGAAAACCCAACTCGTTTGGATAGGAGCTCAGAAAGAGCCCGGGTTGACATCAAGGACATGGAAATGGGTTGATGGTTAGTATTTATAGTATATATAAGTGTAGATGTTCAAACATATTGTGTATAACTCACAAATATTTTGTGTTTTACATATCCAAAAGTCTAGTATAGTTGACTTATCTTTGATTAATTTTTACGATCCGCAATTTGTGGTGATGTTCCTATCCCACTGTTATATAAACAATAGACCCAACGTAACTAAAAAAAAAGACTGTCAATTCTCATACAAAATTTAGCACACTTACGACTATTTTATGTATCGCCAGGTGAGTTAGTATCAAAACCGACCTGGGGTAAGGACCAACCCAACAATTATAACGGCGAGCAAAATTGCGTGGTGCTGGACGGCGGACGGGCTTGGCTTTGGAACGACGTTGGATGCAATCTCGACTATTTACACTGGATCTGCCAGTACCGTGAGTGTCACCTTCATAGGTACATATCCTATACCTTATTCAGCTGCGCGGCTGCGAGTTGCTGGGCGTCACACAAATATCTAAATTGCACACGATTTTATCTATAAAATTACCTTACAGTGTAAAAAAATAATACAATCTGTATCATACAGTCTGTTCTGTTTGAAAATGTTTAAGCTAACTTTTGCGACCAAGTACACTTTTCCTATACATAACACACTTTTTTCTATCTTTTTTTTTCGAAAAACTTTACCCTTACAGTATAATAACAATACCCTGTGTTGTAAAAGCGTTTTAAAAACATAAATTTCACGTAGACAAACAGCCAGTACCGAAACAATTATCTGCGGGTCACACAAATACTTGTCCCGCGTGGGAATCGAACCCGCGACCCTCGGTACCGAAGCCGTTGGCAATGCATTGGCAACTGCACCACGGAGTCATCAATTAAATTATGTTGGCTACCAGTGTTCTATTGCGGATGTCTGAAATGCCAACTCTATCACAGAGGGAAACACTGAGCTTTACCAGCTCCACAGCTCGCTCCTCACATTACCCATCGCAGTGTAAGACAAGCTGGGCGGACGACCTACACGAAGTGACGACAAGTGATGGTGGCTCAGCGCCGTGCTTCGTGTCAGACTATGGTCAGCTGTGGACTAAGATAGACTGAAATGATAATAATGACGACATTTTTACTTAATACTTGCGAATTTTTGGTGTTATCAAACAAATGACCTAATCTGAATAATATCTAAAAATGTTAATTTTGGCAGTATGCCGTTATTATTAAGTATTGGTGCTGTGCTATAATTCACGTATTTTTTATTTCTTTTTTGTTTAATTTATATGTATGTGCGTACTGAACTGAGAAAGAACTTTGACGCGAAACAGTATTTGATGCAACTATTGCTCTACGTTGTTCATATTTCAAGTTGTATAAAGCGGGAAATTTATGAATGATTACATAGTGATATTATTTCTTCAGTGCCGCCTTCTTGCGGTAGTCCAGACAAACTGTTGAACACCACTTTCGAAGGGGATAGCTACTTAGTTGGATCAAGCATTGGCTACAAGTGCCCTGAAGGTCATATGTTACTGGGAGACAAAACTAGGCAGTGCAAGAAAGACGGCTTTTGGTCCGGAACAGCGCCCAGCTGTAAATGTAAGTTTTTTTTATATATAAAAACCTAATTTTTAATAAAGGAGGATATTGCTAAAATCAAATTAATCATTAAAAGTAAGTTGTAGATTAGTAGACTTTATAAATTTAGAAAAGTTATCAAAGTTAATAAAATTAAAAGCATGTTACATAGTAGCAACGGTAGCAAGCAAACGGTTCACCTGTTGTTAAGTGAATACCCCGCCGCCCATGGACATCTGCTACACCCGAGAGTTCCAGATGCGTTGACAACCTTTTGAAACTTATGCTCAGGCCACCTGACTCACTAGACGAAACGTGAAAGTATTATACTTCCACTTTACGCCGGTCTCCTGTGAGATCGTGGTACTTACCCGTAAGAGCCTGCCTATTCGTGCAACAACCGAGGCTGCTGCGTTACCTACCACCGTTAAATAAATAAGAATAAGACATAGGCTATAATTTATATATATATTTTATGTATGTCTTTCTGTCTGAATATTACACCTTCAGCGTATTCTACGCAGACGTAGTCGCGGGCAGCAGTTAATAATATTTACACTAATAACAATTTTACATGATTATTATAGAGAGTGATGTTTTTAGATGTCAACTGTGGGGGCCTTTCTCCGATTCAAGATGGCGACGTACTTTTAATCGATGGACGTACCACCCATGGTGCTAGAGCGACGTATACATGTAATGAAAACTACACCCTAGTCGGAGAACCATCAAGAGTGTGCAGCGATGAGGGTATATGGGCTGGTCAGGCCCCGAAGTGCCTCTTCGACTGGTGCCCAGACCCACCTCCAGTAGCGGGCACTACCGTTGCCGTCAGCGGGCATAAAGCCGGTTCCATAGCAATGTACACGTGCCAAAACGGATTCATATTGTACGGAACATCGGTAAGTTACCCATGGCGGTTAACAATAAACTCATAACCGAATCATTTGATGCAGCGAAAGATGTCAGAGAGTAAATTTTAATCTTCCGCTATCTTTTATGCGTTACTTTAACAGTTAAACCTTTTATTCCGCACTTTTTTACATTTAAAGATTCGGTCACGTCTATTGCAGAGTGTAACATGCAAGCTCGGCGGAACTTGGGCCGGCACACCGCCCTCGTGCAAGTACGTCGATTGTGGTACACCAGCGCAGGTGTACAAAGGCTCCTTTAGACTATTAAATGGCACCACAACTTACGGCTCCGTAGCTCAGTTCAACTGCGAGTCTGACTACTGGCTGTCTGGTGCTGAATTTCTCACCTGCAACCGCGACGGAAAGTGGTCTCATGATATTCCGATGTGTGATCGTGAGTATATTATTATTTTCCGTGGATTTAGAATAAGGAACAACAATATTACTTTGTATATTCATCGTGTTTATTGATTTGATACGCCTTGAACACAGAAAATATATCCAAGAAAATACTTTTATTTAGTGTTACGTGTTACGTGTTGCAATTCAATTGTATTTATTAGATACATTATATGTTTGAAAACTAATAATATAACGAACGAAGATTTAACAGCTCGCACTACGGAACTATATCAGAAGTAATGTTTTTTATTTATTTTTCGCGTGGGATAAACTTTCAACTTTATTGTGTACAGTGGCGTATTTACCAGCAGGCTGAGTAGGCTACAGCCTAGGGTGGCAGATTTTAGGTGGCAGCAAATTTGGCCCAAAATGTTTGTCTTACAGAATTTTTTAAGCATTTTTATAGAATCAGTATACAGGGTGGCTTTTCTAAGTGTATCCATTTTTTTATTATGTTATAGACATAAATAATGTTATATAAAAATGATAAATATTTAAAATCACTCGTAAGTTATTAATTACATTCATTTGAACTTATCTCAAAAAGTACGTGATTTATACGCAACTCATTTATTTTACGCGCGATCATTCATAACTAACACGGACACAAGTCCGTGCACAGTAAAATTTAGGTATTTATGAATGACTACCGCATTGTCAACACGTTCTGTTTTTTAGGGAATATATTGGCATTTTTTTTATTATTTTCCCTGTATAATAGAATTACAGCATTTTTAAGGCATACCATTTTACAATACCCGTTTTATAATTAGAACATGATTGACTTTTCTCATCTCGGAAATATACCTAAAACTATTTTTCGTGCAATCTTCACTTACTGTTAAGTGGGTTATAAAAAATCTAGACACTGACACAACGAAACCCTAGTTCAAAATCATTCTAATAACAAGAAACGGCTATGTGCGAATCGAACTCAAACACGAAGGGTTCTCCGTACCATTATCTATAAAAACAGCAAAAAAAGTCATGTCTGTTGTATCGGAGACCTACTTAAATATTTAAAATTTTTAATTTTTTGGAATTTCAGAGGTCAGTAGGGACGGCAAAAACTGAACATATTTGTAAATCCACCACTGATTGTGTAGATCCCTTACATGCTACAATGATCATCGTTAACTGATTTAGATGAATTTTCGTCTAAGATTTTCTTAGATTGAAAAAAATAACACACCGCGTACATTTCTTTTTTTTTCTGTGCTTGATGAGCCAGGCCTTAGGGGCCTTTACAGTTCCGACGGACTTGAGGTGGCCGGGCGCTCGAGGCGCCTAGCCTGAACCTCGCGTATTTATTATTACGCGTTATGGTGACTAAGCTCGAGGGCTCCCGAAGGAACCTCGGCTCGGGCCGTCACGCTATTTAGTTCACCGGTTTGGGAGGCCGCCAAGCTCTTAGGGCGCTTTCGCGGGGGCTCCATGGAGTGATCTGGCTCAAGGGTCCCCGAGAGGGGACCTCGGCTTGGGCTGTCACTCAACACACGTTTAGCATTCCGATTCGAGGGTGCCCGAGAGGGCCGGACCTCGGCTCGATCGGTAGCTGTTATCTGACTGGGGGGATCTCTAGAGCTATCGTTACTACCACTTCGTAAAGCGTTGGCGCTGGGAGAAGAAGTGGCGGAAGAAACTCCAGCAACGCTTCTATCTTGAACTGGGTAGAACCTGCCAGGTACGTGGCGGAACCTAGTATATGTTTGCCGCACTCGTCGGCGAGTGCGACAAAGTTGGTGTGTTTGCGAAGTTTTTTAGTCCTTTCGATGGCGATAGTCGTCTCATCGTCAAGGAAATCGAGAACGTGTCGCGGTCTACGGTGATTACGGCGGAACGTACCTAGCGGCAGGGGTCTGTAGGTGGCGGCACCTACGATTAGCGGGTTGGGATGCGCGGCGGCGGAATCGAAGTATCGGCGCGACGCCGACTTCAGGAATTGAGCGATGGTGGGCAACTCTAAATCGACATGAAGGTCGATATTGCGCATGTACCAGGGTGCTCCCGTGGCTCTGCGCAAGAATCGATTTTGGATAACCTGAAGCCGGTGTATTTGCTTCGGAGCAATGTGTGCGAAAACTGGGCTCGCGTACGTCATGATAGGGCGAACTACTGCCTTATATAGAGTCACCTTGTTCCGAAGGGACATTTTAGACGTTTTCTTGAGGAGCGGATGGAGGCGACCGAGTACGAAGGCCGCCCGGTTCTTGACCCGAGTCACGTGCTGGTTGAATCTAAGTTGGGAGTCAAGGACGACACCTAAATATTTAATTTTGTTCACCCATGGTACCGGACTATCCATGAGTTTAACGGGGGGTTGTTTATCTACGTTTTTATGTGAAGAAAGGACGGCCGCGCTCTTGGCGGGATTGATTTCGATCCTCCATTGCTGAAACCAGTCACCGATGGTGATGGCTGCAGCTTGGAGGCGTCGATGGATAATTTCGGATGTTCTGCCTGCTGTATAGAGACAGGTGTCGTCGGCAAATAGGGCAAGTTCTACATCTTTGACTCGCGGCATGTCATTGGTGTAGAGCGTAAATAGGACTGGGCCCAACACCGACCCTTGAGGCACCCCGGCTCGAACGGGATGCGTTGTCGAACACACGCCTTCGACGCGATAGCGAAAGGTCCGATTACTTAGGAAGTCTCGTATTATGCATACGAGACGATCGGGCACTCCGAACCCGTATAACTTGTATACGAGCCCGTTGTGCCAGACTTTATCGAAGGCCTTTGCCACGTCCAAGAAGAGTGCTCCGGTGTTGAGTCCGCGTTGGCGTTTGACTAGTATGTGCTCCGTGATGCGGTGCACTTGATGGGTACAAGAATGTTTGGCTCTAAAGCCAAACTGTTCAGGGATGGGGAGCGCTTTGGCGTCCATAAGGGATCTTAGTCGGGCTAATATTAGTCTTTCAAAGATCTTCCCAAATGTTTTGAGAAGACTTATTGGACGATAAGAGGTTGGGAGGGTCGCGGGTTTTTGAGGTTTGAGGAACCCTATTACGTCAGCTTCTTTCCACTCGGACGGGAAGAAGCCTTCGGTTATAGCCGCGTTGTAAATTAATACTAGTATCTGAAGGATGCTAGTAGGGAGAAGTTTGGTCACCTTATTGGTGATAGCATCTGAGCCAGGCGCTTTGCGTGGGCGCAGTTTGTTAATTGTTTCTGCGAGTAACGAGCACGTGACCTGGGGAACGGGATCGCGGAGTGGTTCCGATGCTTTCCTTTCGACCTCTTCGTTCACTTTACGGAGGTGATCGGGGTGGGTCGGAAGCAAGCTGGGGGCGCATTGGACCTCTAGACTGTCAGCTAGGCATTCGGCTTTCTCTTCGTCCAGCATTGCTGGCGTTCCTATCGGGCGAACTAATGGTGGCATGTTTGGAGTGGCAATACCCTTGAGGGATTTGGGAAGTTTCCAGAAGGCTTGGTGGGACGGTTTTTTGAGACTAGGGTGGAGTCCCACCGTTCGTTTCGTGAGTCTGCTATACGTGTTTTGACTTCACGTTGCAATTTACGTAGCAGTCTACGATTCGAGTCGGTGGGATATCTATCGTAGGCGCGTGTGGCCGCACTCTTGCGCCTCAGTAAGTCTTGTAGATCGTCTGGCAGGGCCCAGCGATGGTCATCCATCGCTGGAACCTGTCTCGAGCATTGCTCGACGACGGTGTTGACGTGACTCGTGAGGGCCCGAATTGCGGTCTCCGTGTCCTGTTTGTTGTTGAGTTGGCCGGGGATCGACTCTAATATTGGATTGGGCTCATTAAGTTTAGTTTTGACTCTATGCCAGCTAATGACTGTTTTGGTTTGGGGGGCGGCTATTGCTGAGGGCCCTAGCCGAAGGAGGACTGGTCGGTGATCAGAGTGAAGCTCGTGAATCACTTCCGGGTCGCGCATGGTCAGATTGATGTTTTTGACGACTGCAATATCAAGCTACAACTTCAAAGTCGAGCCTGTTGGATAGCGAGTCGAGTGCGGTGCCTCGACTGTTGGTGCGTGTCGAGTTCCATCGGATATGCTTGCTGTTGAAGTCGCCAGCTAATATGGTAGCTCCTCCTATGGAGAAGAGGGCCTCAAAATCGGATTGCAATATAGTTGCGGTTGGTCTGCAAGGGAGATAGACTGATACTAGAGTGGCCAGTTAGTGCCAGCTGACAGACGGATGCCTCGAGATGCGTGAGCGCGGGCGTATCTACCGGTACGCAGTGGAGGGATTTTTTATAGTAAATTAGTGTGCCGCCGCCCGGGGCGCCGGCACGATCGTTTCTAACTATCCGGTAGTTGGGGATGAGCGGATCCCTTGTCGCGGGTTTCAGGAACGTTTCCTGTATTAGTAATACGTCGATTTGGTGATCGCGCAGAAAAATACGTAATTCGTCGCGTTGTTCTTTGAGCCCGTTCGCGTTGTAGAAAGCTACGTTGATCGATCGCGGTTTGACTCTGCCATTATTACGCGTGGTAGAGGGACTGATATTTTCGTTATTATTGCTTCTAGTTGTACTATCCATGTTCGGTTTAAACTGAGAGCGCAGCAACTATGTGCTGGTACTGGTCTAGAAGGAGTAATCGAGAGCTGAAGTTGCCTTTGGCATACTGCTCGGCAAAGTACATTACCTCCGCCATGTCGACGGTTCGGAGGAGTTGACTTAGCGAGTCCAGGGGGTTGCCCCCGGCAGCTTTTGGTGGTGTTGGGATGAGCGCCAGTTGAGGGGCAGCTTTGGGTTCCGCGAGTGGCGGATTCGGTTTGGCCCAAGCGGGGGCCATGGGGTTCTGCCACGCGGGGCGAAGAGGAGGGAAAGAGGCGGCCGTTGGAATCGGCTGCCTTCTTGTTGCCTGAGGGGCGGGCCTAATGGGTCTGCGCTTAGGTGCGTTCGGGCAGCCAAGATAGTTGGCTGTGTGTCCTTCCGACTGGCAGAGGACGCATGCGGGTGGACGGTAGTTGGCCAGAAGGGCCTTGTCCCTTGGTCTGGGACATTCCAGGGTGCCGTGGTCGCCTAGGCACTTAACGCACCTGGGCTTGGCAAAGCAGTTACGGGCGGCGTGCCCGTAATTTTGGCACTTATGGCACTGTCCCGGGAGGGTGGCCTTGTGCGGGGGTTCGACAACTATATTGGTCAGTCCTATGACTGACTCGATATTGAAAATGGCTTTCGGTGTCCCGCATAAATAGGGGTGGTGGGCACTTATCTTGCGGCGCACGGGGGGCCGCGGGAGGAGCGGGGGCTGCTTGCGTGGCAGCCTGAGTCGAGGGGGTTGGGTTCGCTGAAGGCGATTGGGTAGTCGGGGTGGGCCTAGAGGGCCCGGCGTTGGCCGATTCGGTCGGCCTTGGCGCCTTGACTGGCGGAACCGGGGACGGAGCCGCTGAGGACGGCTGCGAAGAGCGCTTTTTGCGCTTCTTCTTGTTCACCACTTGGGTGAACAAGCCGCCTTCATCGGCGTCGGGGGAGAGCGGCGAATCGAGCTCCATTTCCTCTTGCGAGGAGGAGGAGCTCGTTGCGGCGCCTTGGGAAGATGCCCTTGAGGAGGGTCTTGATGCGTTCGATACTTCTTCGACGACTTTCCTATATAGTTCCGGATATCTTTCCATCAGGAAGTCGAGCATTCCCTCCGGGTGGGCCATCTCGTCTGGGACGTTATCCTATTATATATAATTAATCCCGGTGGGATACCGGGGTGTGTGCCCGTATCCCTCCCTGCCGGGTATAGGCAGGGAGGATGAGTGCCTAAATTGTGTGACCCTAGTGCGTCCTTGTGCCGATCTTATTGTGCACACGGGTGTGTACTTATAGCTAATTAAAACTACCCGAGGGCGCTAAAAGGCCAGACGTGGACCACCGCTGACTAGGGACTACACCCAAGGCCAGTGATGGTGGTCCCTTCCGAAAATTCGCGGTTCTCAGGAGAAAACCGCAAGGCGATCGGGGCAAGCCTTGGCTAGCTTCGTTAGCACCGTTAGGTATCCACTAGCCCTAAGACGTCGAAACAGAACCACTGCTAAGCGTGTTGGTCGGCGCAGTCAGAACTGCACCTCGCAACTCGACTTGCGAGCGTGGTGCCCACTCGTAATAAAAATTACGAGTGAACGCGGCGCGCGGTGCGCGACGACTGAGCGTCCGCGGCGAGCGAGTCGGCACGCGGAAGCGGACAGGGGTGGGGAGTAGCAGAGTAGAGAGAGCGCGTGCCAAGGCGTGCGTTCGTCTCGACTGCTGCGAGCGGAATGCGTACATTCCCTATACACGTTCTTATTTATAAATACTATTTGAAAGTTTTAAATAAGTTTTAATAGCTAACAATCAAACAATGCACTTCGGTTTATGAAAAGTTGATTAAGGTGGTAGTTGGCTTAAGTTCAAAAGTTTGCATCATATACAGCGTGTCGTTACAACGGCGACAACAAATGAACACACATATAATATATAACTTTTTAAAATTATATTAAGCATTTACATTAGATATCAATATTTACCGGGTTATTAAATTTTACAAAACAAACAATTTTAGAACACCGTAAATAAATGTAACGAAAAGTTAATTTGTAAAGTCACAAAGCATACGAGTATGAATGGGTTGAATGAATTTAAAAGAGATAAAACATACTTTTAGAAGGAGAAACTTGTAATTCGAAGTTGTGGCAACGAATGAAAACGTCTCTGAATGTGTGTATGAAGAAGTCAGGTTTAGTTGTATAGGATGTTACAAATTTTGTTTCTTTTTAATTTAATTAGTTTGTTTGAAAAATATATTTTTTTAATTATGGATTTTTAACGTTTTATATTTTATGATTATTTGCACGTAGCGTTAGACGTATGTTCATTTAATGTCGCGGTTATAACGACACGCTGTATAAATTTTTGGAGTGTATAGAAAAAAATTCCGTTCTTATTTTCACCTCTTCCTGGCACGATTTAATTCATATAAGATATAAGGCGTACGTATATACTTCTAAGAAAACGATAAGTACGGATTGAAAGATTTAATTAAATGACTACCTGTCATTTATATTTCTCTAGTTCTGACAGTTATTATACGATTATAACTCCTGTAAAAAAATATAAGGGTTTCGACAATTGTCATTTATATCGATGTTTTATAGGTTGTCGGTACCAATGCCTGTCCCCTTTCCACTTATCCTAGCCACCAGTTTTTATATCTGCAGGCAGTTAGGGTTGCCACTTGTACTATAATATATGGTATCGTACTATTATTTTGTTATTATTTGTACTGTATAGAAAATGATATAATACGAAATGGATACATTTTCATTGCTAATACAATTATTGTTATGTTACTCTACGGTAACAATATAGAAGTGAGTGAATCCTAAGAATCCTTTTTGCAAATCAAATAACATTTGAAAAGCCATTTGACAGCTGAATAGTTGACTTCTACGATGATCAGTCTTCCAGAAACCAGGCGTAAAACTATTGCATGGAAAAAATTAAATATTGTTTTGCATTTTGCTACTAATTATTAAATAAAGGTTACTTATAAATATTTTCAAGCATAGTCCGTAATGGCATTGTATGTATGATTATACAAGCCAATTCAATTATTAATAAAACATAAAAAATCGAACGATTACGTAATTATTCCCATTTGCAATTTTGACGCGCCTATAAAATTGTGTCTGGAATCTGTCAAAAAGTATTTTTTAGATTAAATAGACTAAAACACCTTTATATTTTTATAATATACTTATTATTTTTTATTTTACGTTTATATTACCTTATTATTTTTTATATTCGAAAATATTAACTAATAGTAAAAATTAATCTAATCGAGCTTTAGATATTGTGTGACTCATAATAATTAAACTTTAAAACCTGGGTTTTAATATAAATGTTTAATTAATACATATATAGAAGAATGTTAGTAATATGTAAATGAAGTACACGAATGGCGTAGTGGGTAGTGTACTTGCCTCCTGCGCTAAAGCGTGAGAGGGTTCGATCCGAACTCGACCTCACAGAAGACCGACGTAAAGTAGAAGTGTTGCACTTCTGCGTTTCGTCTGGTGAGTGAGGTAGCCGGGGCCCACATTATTAAGAGGTGGCAACGCATCTGCAACCTTAGGAGTGTTGCAGATGTCCATGGGCAGGCGGTTATCACTTAATATCAGGTGAACTGCCAGCTCGTTTACCACTTTCTCACATAAAAAAAATATGCAGCCTATACACATATATTAAATATATCAGAAAAGCGATATTATATATGTCGGCGAACAAGATAGAAATATGAACTGAGTAACTCCGTAATACTGAGCTCAGACTCACCGCTCTCTCATATTTAAAATGTCACAGTTGCCCCCTCCAAACGATTCCGATCACGTGACTCGTTACGTCACGGTGTTCACTCCTACCCGTTTCAACAATATCATTTGAGTTACTAATTATTGTTAAATTATCGTAATCGACGATATATACATTAACACAATGGTTGAAATATCATTTTGTAATACTTGTATATATATTTTGTATTTTACAGAATCTGTTCTATAGAATAAAAAAGAATATTTACCTAATTATGTCTGACCGCCGCGTTACTTGCACACAATTCAGAAAATTTTTCCACCACATTGCATGTTTTCTTCATAACTATTTTTTTATGTAATTAATTTAAAAAACGCTGTTATTATTGTCATCAAATAGCCATGTGGATAAATAAACTATTCGATATAAAGACAAAATACGAGTATTTTTCACCACAGTCCGACGACGCACAACGTCAGTAAGTAACGACCGAATGCTTAAACTATATCGAAATTAATATAATTATATGATGAACATTATTTCTAGTTATAACTTGTGCGGACCCTGAGGTTCCAGCTGGCGGATACATGGAGGCTTATGACTATAACGTGCATTCAACGATCGACTTCCATTGTGAACATGGCCATCAGCTCGTTGGAGAAGCGAGTTTAGTCTGCCAGCCGGATGGAGAATGGTCCGGGGAGTCCCCGAAATGCGAATGTAAGATATAATATGACCTTTATTGTCATATTATAATATATAACACTAAAAGTTTAGTTTGTAGCTTTAAAAATCTTCTTTTATGCTTTTAATTGTTATATTATTTTCAGAGTAAAAGGATTAAGCAACTGAATAGACATATCATAATAATTTGGATTTACTAAATGATGTACATTCATTGTATTGGTCACTAAGTATTAAATGAGAAATAATTCGTAGCAAAAAATGTAACCTATCGAGATTTTTCAGACGTGGATTGTGGAAAACTGCCGCCATTGCCATACGGCTCTGCAGAGCTTCTAAATGGAACCACACACATGGGAAGTGTTATTCAGTACTCTTGTACCACCAATTATCGGCTAATAGGACCCGTTCGTAGAATCTGCACAGAGGATCGTCAATGGAGCGAGTCTTCACCAAGATGTGAAGGTAAGAAACACGTTGGAATTATTGCTATAAAAAAACAACACTAGATTTGAAAGATGAACACAATTAAGCAAATAATGAAACATTATAATTTATTTCAGCATTTGCTTAATTGTGTTCATCTATCAAATCTAGTGTTGTTTTTTAAATAAGTTACAATTAACAATTACTATAATACACTAATAACAAGAATGTAGATATACATTTAAAGGAATTACATTCTTAAATCTTGAAATATATTATTTATTTTCAGAAATCCGTTGTCCTGAACCCATTGTAGCGGAAAACAGCATTGTCTCGGTGACGGGTAACGATCGCATGCATGGGCGTACCCTTATACGTACAGTGGGCAGTTCAAGCGCTGGCAACACATATCGCATAGGAGCACTTGTCAAGTACCGTTGCGAGCGAGGATACAAAGTTATTGGAGAGAGCCTGTCCACTTGCGAAGATAATGGCCAGTGGAGTGGTGTCACTCCACGTTGTCAATGTAAGATGGAAAGAAATAAAATTTCAGAAGCCTAAATCTAAAACAGTGATGGCACTGTTACATTCTGCTAAATCTATCAAAATTTAATCGAGCCCCCGATGTATTTTAAATTACATATTTTATATATTAGCGTTTTCATTGTATGCGTTTTGTAAAAAATTAGGTTTTGTCTAACATTAAATTTATTATTTATGTTACAGACGTGGACTGCGGTAATCCAGGGCGGCTTCAGAATGGCAAGGTGACCCTAGCGACGAACGCCACATATTATGGAGCAGCTGCACTTTACGAATGTGATGAACATTGGCAACTTGACGGCGTTTCCAGGAGATTGTGTCAAGACAACGGCACTTGGAGTTCTGAGCCTCCAGTATGCAAAGGTATTCATAAATTTTGTATGAGCAGAGATTTCTGCAGGTGGCTCAGGATCCTGCTTCGTGGCAATTTGTGGGGTGTTGAAAGGCTGAAATGTTGATGATGATGATGAGAGATTCATACTTAATAAAAAAAATATTTGATTTATTTTTAGTAGGTATCACACGTTTTAAGGTCGATTGACCAGTCTCCAGTGCGTCACGGAGCCATAATACGATTTTAAACGAAAACATGGTACTATTTTTATACTATAACTAGCGATCCTCCACGGCTTCGTACGGGTGCTATGTATTAAACATATGAACCTTCCTCTTCAATCACAATCTAGTAAAAAAACCGCATCAAGATGCGTTGTGTAGTTTTAAAGATCTAAGCATACATAGGGACAGACAGACAGCGAGACAACTTTGTTTTATACTATGTAGTGATGCACAGCAAAAAGATGTTTACATTTCAAGTGATATTTTACCACAGTCACTCACTTGTTTTGCCTTCCCGGAACCCCGCCTAACTAACTAAAACTTTATGGTATGGTATTAAAGTTCAAATAGATTTTTAAGTATTATTACGGATCTTTTGTACCGAAATATAGAAAAGGGTTGTTTTTAGGCTTCTTCAGACAATTTTTTAAATTTTTTATTTCATAAGAACTTTCTCCTGATAATAACAAAAGTATCAGCTTATACATGTCCCACTGCTGGGCAAAGGCCTCCTCTATACAGAGGGTATCAGGGCATAGTCCACCACGCGGTCCCACTGCGGATTGGCGGACTTCATATATCGTCAAATATTTCTTTCTTTGTTATTATTTCGAAAATATGCAGGTTTCCTCACGATGTTTTTCCTTCACCGCAGAGCACGTGATAAGTCAGCACTTAACGTTAAAAACTTCATTGGTGCCGGCACCGGGGATCGAATTCAGATTCGATCAATTCGATTCGATCGAGTATATTGAATTAAAGGCGAGCGCCCGGACACTGAGCTATCACGGCTCTAATATAATTATATATAATAATAACAAAACACAACAAAAAAAGTGAAATCGGTCCAGCCGTTCACGCGTGATGGCGTAACCAAGGGAAATAGGGATTTATTTTAATATATAGAGACATACATTTATAAAAGTAAACGATTGTTTTCTTAACAAATACGTAGTGGCTTTCATAGACTTTTCTAATAGAAAATATACCTAGATGCAAATGTCCTTATGTTATTATAGTTTACGTCTTAATAAAATTAAATATGTACCTATTCAAATTACAATATAAAAATATTAAAAAATAATACAAAATAAAAATCAGCGTTGAAAAGGATAGTGAATAATTTTAGGAGAAAGATATGTAAATTGGAAATGTATTGTACTGTGTTATTATGTCAAAAATGGTCTCCACTCAACAAAACGTGGAGAGCCCCGCAATGCTGAATTTCTGTGGAGCCGCTTCGATAATGGAAATGTGCGGGTATATATGTTCAAACGTTATCACAATTACAATAATAACTGTAACTAAAATGTAATACTAAAATATACAATATTTTTTAAAATAATGACATCGTGCAACTTTTTAACAATAATAAAAATCATAATATTTAAAATTCAAATATCTTTATTGAAAAAAGAAAACACCTGAACGACCCGGATGGTAGTGGGTAGTGTACCTGCCTCCAGCGCCAGAGGGTGTGAGTTCGATCCCCTATACTGGAAATTATTGTGTGATGAACATAGTGTTTTTCTAGTGTATGGGTGTTTTTTATATATGACGTATAATATGTATTTAATTACAAAAGAAAAGTATGTATAAGTATGTTTATCAGTTATCTAGTACCCATAGTACAAGCGTTGCTTAGTTTGGGACTAGAGAGCGTTGTGTAAAAAATGTGTCCAAAAATATTTATTTTATTTATTTACTCACTTATTGATTGTCAAAATACTATTACCGGTTAATAAATAATATAATAACCGAAGTTAATGTTATAATAACCTTTAACACACAACTTTAGATTAGATACATAATTTTAGATTTTTTTTAATTTAGCGGTTTATACATATTGAACGTTTTCTAGGATTTTGTTGTAGAAATTGCATTGTCCCATAAAAGATTTGCTTATAGAATAAGTAAATCTTTTTAATAATAAATAGAAAAACTAAATCCCAGTCTAATTGTGGGTAGAATGTTTATATCATACACGTTACTACGAGTATGTCTTGTATTCTTATTTTTGTGTAAATACATTTTTCATTTAACATTTTCAAACATGAATTAGAGAGCAACAGTTAATCTATATCTCTTTAAACAATTTTCTTTGTGAATTTTGGGGCCCAGTATTTGTAAACTGCTCGAATAGCTCTCTTTTGGGGTTTAGAGATTGTATTTATGCTGACTGCGTTACTAGGGATTCCGAAAGTCGAAAAAAATATCGATATATCGATATTTATAAAAATATCAATATCGACCTCGATATATCGAAAAAAAATATTGATATATCGAAATATCGGTCAAATTTTCAGTTTTATAAAAATTATGTATTTGTTTAGTTCAGTCTGATTCAATAATAAGTAATAGTAATTTATATTCCTTATTTACATTAATTAAACGAATGAGAAATTTTAATAAAACGTTAAATATTTATTTATTTCTTTTATTAATCTAAATTTCTAGATATGTTATTTATCAAGACCTTCATTGGAAAAAAACAAACAGCTTATTTAGTAAGATAAATCAGTTTCTTTAGCCCTGAATCGAATAAAAAAATTACTAATTAAAAAACATGTAACTTTGTAAATAAACAAAGTTTAAAACTAAGTTAATAATGGGTCAAAAAGAAACCCGCAGAGACATGTCGTAAAAGACAGGCCTAGATCAACAGAATTTAGTAATAGTTGTTGGATTGACATGAAAATGTTGAACGGCAATTTAAAAAGTAACTAATGCCATTAATATTTTTCATGCTATTTATAAATTAACATAATATGTAGTTCAACATTAATGATTGGTAACACCTCTATACCATGTTGTACCTAAGATATGGATACTATAAAGTACGAAGCATAAAATTGTAGTATATTTACCATAATTATAGTACAAAATGCAACTCTGCAACCGCGACAATACTAGTAATAGACATTTTTTTCCCTCATTTTTATCTTTTACGGCTTTGAATCAGTTTAAATAATTTCAACGGTGGTAGGGCCACGCAGCAGCCTTGGCTGTTGTACGAATGGGCAGGCTCGTCCGGGTAAGTACCACGATCTTACAAAAGACAGGCGTAAAGTGTAATTATAATACTTGCGCGTTTCCTCTGGTGAGTGAGGTAGCCGGAGCCCAATTTTCAAAAGGTTGTCAACGCATCTGCAAACCTCGGGTGTAGCGGATGTCCATGGGAGGCGGTATTCACTCTCGCTCGGCAACTTTTCACATCATCATCTCAGACGTAGGACGTCCACTGTTGAACATAGGCCTCCCCCATTGACTTCCACTTCGACCGGTCGTTAGCGGTCTGCATCCAACGCGTCCCTGCGATCTGGGCTAGGTCGTCCGTCCACCTTGTTCGAGGCCTTCCTACGCTGCGCTTGCATTACTTTTCACATAAAAAAAGTTTTTGATACGATTTCCATTCCATATTCAATTTTTATATCGATATATCTGATCAAAATATATCGCCCAAAAATATCGATATATCGATAATTTTTCGGCATTCCTATGCGTTACCCCGAATGCCATAAGACATTATAGTCTGAAAATAAATAAAATATGCCATACGAGCTGTACCTACATCAGTCAACTGTATTATTTTTTAACGAACAATGCTGAGCCATGTCTACTCGCCCGCTTAATAATATGCGGGCCCCATTTATAATTGGCATTTATAGTTATGCTAAGGAAAACTGTTTTGTACTATGGTAGCACCACGCAACAGTATTCGCTGTTGCACGAATGGACAGATCCGTCCGGGTTAGTACTACGATCTCACAGAAGACCGGCATAAAGTAGAAGTTACAGTTCTGCGCTTCGTCTGGTGAGTGCGGCAGCCGAGTCCCACAACATCTGCAACCGGTGTTGCAAAAACTAAAGGAGTATTATCAGCAAACAATACTATCTCATGATAAACATGAGGATAAGAAAGGCAGTTCATTTATGTAGATGAGGAAGAGAAAAAGCTCAAGGAATTGAGCGGGACCCCATTTTTAACCGGGCTCCGGGAGATCTTTTGGCATTCACGTCCATTTCTTGAATTCGATTACTGAAGTACAATATCAGAAAATTGAGTGCGACATGTCTTATTATGTTGTATTATACCTACTGGTGTAGTTTTCTGACCAGTCTCATGTCGTACCCAATCAAAAGCTTTTGTTAAGTAACTGAATATACCTAAGGCATCCTGCGACTCTTCCAGCCTCCAAAAATTTTACTAAGAGCACTGAGATAGATCTAAAACTATTGCGGTCCGAATACTGCCCGATTTAAGCACGGAATGATTTTACTTCTTTTATAACAGGCAAGTCAGGCACTGGCGTAGCTACTGTAGGTGCAAGTGGTGAAGCTCAACCCCCCTAACCTTTGAACAGAAAGGAGCAGCCAGCTCCCAAATCTAGCACACCTCGCTGATGCTCGCAAGAATTTTTTATGATGTTAAATGAACATAAACAATAACGGAACTCTTAATTTAAGACTTTCAACACATGCGCAAATAATTACGCACTTAGGGCGAGCGCCCGGACAATAAGCTTTCACGGCTAACAATTAGAGTTACACGAAAATAATGTATCGTGGAATTGTTTGTCTCAAACAGCCAAATAAAAGTTCGTGACATCATATATCTACCTTAAATGTAAAAGCCAATATATATATAGTGCTCGGCTATCCGGGACTGCAGGCGTTTATCAGAAAGAGTTAAGCAACATAGTTCCTCGAAAGCAGTCATGGAGGCATGTGATATATATGAAGCCTGGTAAAAAGTTCGACCATTGACAAGGAACTTGAAGATGAAATACGCATAGAAGCATCATTTCTCTCAAAACTTGTCTCCACAAGTTCATCGGAGATTATTCGACATCATAACTACTCTTGTGAATAGAAGTCAAAGTCAAATTTTCTCTATTTAAAATACGCTTATTTGAAGAAATTATACACCAGCATTAAGAACTATGTTTTTCTAGCAAATCTAAATTAATGCAATCTCGTTTGAACCTTGTAAGTCGTATAAATAACGCGTGACAGCATTTATTTCATTATAATAAATAAAATAAACGCTGTTTAATTAATTATATTAGTAATAAGCTAAATATTTGTCGGCAGAAATAACGTGCACGGATCCATCATCCCAAATAAAAGGCAGCACCGGACTTCTTGTGGTCACTTCGTCACTCAGTATTGGCAGCGAAGCTCACTATCGTTGTGAGCGTGGCTACAGTCTGCGAGGCAACCAGACAAGGACTTGTATGCCAAGAGGGCAATGGAATGGGTCCGCTCCAGTGTGCATTCGTAAGAGTCCGCTAATGTTTCTATGCTCTAGCCGAAAAGTTTACTTCTATGTACGAATTACTAGTCTTTACCGCTTGTAAATAATGTATTTAACATTATTATTTTTCAATAGTAGTTCAAACACACGTCGAAAATTATATTTATTAACTATCGTTTTCACTTTATAACACTGCGCACAATACTCGTTTATGCAAGGTATAATTAATGGGCCATATTTAACATAAATCCTTTATTTTCTAGCGATCGACTGCAAGTCACCTGGTACGATCGAAAATGGCCGAATTATAATATCGAACAGTTCAACACTCTTTGGAAGCTCCATCGAATACCATTGCTTGCCGCAGTTCCAACGAGTGGGACCTTTCCTACGGAAATGCCTGGATGACGGCAAGTGGTCAGGCGAGGAACCCAGCTGTGAACTCGCAACAAATGAGGCCGCTGAAAGTGGAGCCCTACCACTAAGCGTTGGTGTAGGCTGTGGCATCGTCTTGTTCCTGTTGATGCTGCTGGGAGTCATTTATTTACGACTGTAAGTATTACATAAATCATTAATAAATGGCAGAGAATTGCCGCGCCATCTATTATTAACTGATGATTTTATTCAATCAGGCGGAAGGCAACTCCGGTAAAGAACACGGAAAACATAGAGGGTGCTGAGAGAAAAGAAGACCAAAACGCCGCTGTAATGAGCTACGCAACGCTGCATGATACTAACGGACGTCATATTTATGATCACGTCACAGACAACGTATACGACTCACCATACAGCGAACGTCTAGCAGACAACGTTGCATACGGTAGACGAAGTGACACGGACTCTGCCTATGAACCGGAGCCAACAGGTCCCAATGCCGTCGTCACCATAAATGGCGTTGCCGTACGTTGAGTGACGATCGGTGCTCGAAAAAAATATATTGCCACTTAGTGCTATATTTTGCAAAGGAGCTTTTACACTATCCGGCTCAAAGGACCAAATCCCAGTGCTAGTGACGTTAGACGTTTATCTTTGTTAGTTAATCGTAATAATTTGAAAGCGATTTTGTTAAAGATAGGCGATTAAATTTAATGTCGAAATATAATTATTTTTGAAACTGGTGAAGTTGCTAAATTGAGAGATACACAAAATTTTTTGCAGTTTATTAAATTCATAAAAGGTTACATTAGCCTTCTTGATTGTTCAAACAGAAGATTGTTCGAACAGAAACTTCTGTAGGGTTTAAAATATAAAAAATCGAATTGCAAAATCAATACAACCAATCAAATTTCAATTACAAGTCAAGGATCGTAAAACAAATGTGTTCGAGGTGATCACCAACCCTTACTAGGTATTTAACCAAAGATGTAAATGAGTTGGAATAGAATGAAATAAAATACTATTTATAAATTAGTTTATGAATGTAATTATATGATTTAGTGATGCAAAATTTCGACTAACAAATTGTTATTTTAAAGCATAAAAATTTTATCAATTTATCTTGGTAACAAAGGAGGTAAAATCATTTGTATTATTTTTTTATTATGATGTGTATGTACATCCTATATATTTTATTTTCTTAATGTTATATTTTTATAATAAACAACTTAAAGTAAACTTTGTATATATAGATAAAATATTTCAACATTACAAGGTTTATATTCTTAAAAATTGTATACTAAACGTTTAAAAAGTTTCTTTCTTTTAAAAGTTTTAATTATAGTATTAAGTGTAGATAGTGAATAAAACTTTTCTTAATGAACTTTCTCACGGGAAATATATCTTTAGTTTTTGTCTGTCCACTCGAAGTTATTTTTTATTTGTAAATAATTAACTAAGTCTTACTTAACGAAAAGGTAAGGATGAGTTCGGGATCAAAAGAAGTGGAAATCTACTTTCTTCCCCTCTGGGTAACAGGCGTTTATACATTATTAGGTAAACAGGTGTCTGTAATTACTAATTTCAGTTTTAGTTTTAAAAAAATGAGAAATTACAAGTAACAATCTACATATTAACATTTTAATCGTTACCTATAGTATAGTATAAAAACTTTCAAAAAACCAAACGTAAAACTTTATGCTTCTGTTTGAATTTTTTTCGTAATTATCAATTTATTCCCCTTTCTTTACATTTGATTGGATTGAAATTGATTGTATTCAATTGAGATATTTATGTTATTTTATAAGTCAAAAACGAATTGCAAACACAATATTTGATACAATTAAAGATTGTTTTTGATGAAATACGACTGTAGATTAATACTTCAATATTTGATAAGCCAATCATTTTTAGATTAGATTTTTTATTTGATTAAGAGAAACAAAAATTTTAATTTTTCAGCGTTCTTCTTTAGTAACTGTAAAGTTTATAATAATTTCACTTCCTAATGAGTATTTTTTTTTTTTCAAAAAATGCCAAGTATATGCTTTGTTACTTTTATATGAAATCTTGTACCTACATAATTATTGTAAGTGTTCGTTAAATAAATATATCCCACATGTTCTGAACTTTTATATTTATTACCAATAAATCACACAAGTTTAACCTATTAGGATTGCTAACCTTTACCAGCAGGTACCTTTTTATAGAATCTTTTCGCGGTAACGAAATATATAAATTAAAGAGAGAAATAAATAATCAATCACAAAGAAGTAAACAATGCTAACATGCCTAAAAGACTTATACTTTGCATTCTAGTCATTGCGTAATAATTTAATAGAAGTAAAATTACAATTTATAGGTACATTTCATTCAATTACAATTTAAATGTTTATTATTTTTAACAAATGGTTGAGTAAAGGTTACGACCCCAACAGATATGTCACATTTAACAATAAACATTTTATATTCTAATAGTATATTATGACCATAATAATTGGACGACAAGTGTATATAGAAAAGAGAATAGGATCTATAAAACAATTATCAATATCATATTGTTTAGGTATTAAAGATTCCCTTATAAAGCTTTTGTAATTAGATACCGCGCAAAATCTTGAACACATTCAATAAGTAAATATTAAAATACTAAAATTATCATGGCTTTATTCTGTATTGTGGTTATATGTATAATATAAGTTTTTTTTTTACGAAAATTATTTAACATTGTAAAGATTCCAAAGATGAAATATGTTCTTACTGCTAATGTGCTAATGGCAACAAAAACTTACTAGAAACTTGACATATTTTTTTATAGTAAGTAGTTATTATGATATATTATTATTAACATTTTTTTACAATATGTTAACTGTTCGTTTTTTTACATCTACAACTTTAACACGAATATAAAAAAAACTGAGTAATTATTACTGTTAATAAGTATTTTTCGGTGAAGACTACTTGTAACATAAGAAAGTGTGATCGCCTTTTCTTGAAAGTTCGCGTGCGCATGCAGAAAAATTTTGATTAAAATTTTTGAATTACGAGAATACAGACAATGTATAGTCACTCAAATCGCATAAAATATTATTTTATTTGTAGTTATTACAATTCGTATTTAGTATAAATCTTTTTGCTTGTGTAAACACAGCGCGACATGTACTGTACATATGCATGTGGCGCTGTTTGGCTGTAGCAATGTAAAAAATATTTACGTACAAATAGGCAGACGCAAATCCATATACATAACAGTAGGGAAACAAATGCTAAGTTCCACAAAACCAACAACAATAAACTGTTTAGATCCTATTAAAATCTAGTTATATACATAAATATTATTGTAATAATAGGACCGTCAAAATCGACAATAATTAATTTGCAAACTCTTTAACGATATGCTAAAAAACGCTACTAAAATCCAATGTTATTTCGGTTGTAGTATACAGCCACTTAGTTACTTGATAGTACTACATAGCGTATTATAAGTTAGTACTTACTTAAGTTTAACATTATCTTAAATATAGTTGTAACAATCAATTTAATTAAACAGATCTCGCCGATATTTATACTCTTAATGAATTCATATAGTTTACTATTCAAATATGGTTACGTTAAAGCGTTTCGTCGTGGAAAAGTTAATTTCAGAGGTTGTTGTTAAGGGACTGTAATTTATAAATCATCAATTCCTTTTAATTTGCTACATAAGCCCACCAAGTGGGCACCGCATGGAAGCCCGATAATGCATTTCCAACAACCGAATTTGTAGAAAAAAACAATGGAAAAAAATTTAAACTTATGATTAGAATCACATTATGATTACAATCTTACAGAAAAACTACTTGCTAAGGCACCGTGGAGAAATATGCCGATATGGGAACGTTTTATACATGTTACATACTATATAAAATGTACAGGAAATAAACAGAAAAGGAAAAATAAAAATAAAGAAAATAAATCAATTAATATATTTATTTTGACTAACTCTTATCTCTGGAAATAAATAAAACTTTAATGAACAAAAATTTTAGGGTCGCTACGTCAAAAAAGGCTTCACATTTATACATTAAAAAATAAATTTTCGAAATCACTTCATGTCGTCAGGAAATACTCGAATTAATTTAACGAACAAACACCTCGTGTTAATAATTAAATTTACAATGAGGCTTGAGATTATTCAATACACAATCGACATATAACAACAGCTGGATAGTTGACATTTACTCATTGTATACTCAATATCATTATATACTTGTAAATTGGATTTGTATAATATTACAAAAATTACGGTGGACAACTATCTACTACAATATAATTTATTCCAATTACAAAACTCCCTTAAACACCCACTATCTCTTAACAATTTTAAACGTACTTACATTGGGGCCGAATAGAAGCCACTTGGTCAACTACTTATTTATATTGTGTTCTTAATCGTTCCCCGTGTCAAAATATTACGACTGGGAACGACTCCAATCCTTTTATTTACGTATCTCAAGGGTTAATACAAACACTGAACGCATACGTATATGTAATCACGTACATACGTCGCTATAAGGACTTAAGTTAATATATCTATTAAGTTAATCAACAAAACAGTAAACAGATAATTTAAAAAAAGAATCGTGAAAATGATATCTCGTAACTGATGTATCACATTTCAGATAATTTCGCCCTTGCTAATAAAAAAAAAACATCTATACAATGCATAGGGTTAAAAAGGTATTCATATACATAAGTTTAATTCGAGATACATACACATAATTGCAACAAAAAGAAAACATATGACGTCAAATCCTCAATAGAAGTCTCACTATAATCTAACTTACTTTACACTTATGAAATTTAGGAATACATCAAAATATCAACACACGGACAACCCGGGGGCGATACGAATACTTCTCCAACCAATACTATTTACAATTGGCAATGTTAAATGTAATCGAATAAATGAACATTCTGTTTTTAAAATAAACCAGACAGTTAAGTACAAATCCATCTAAACGGCAACAGAAAAAAATCATATGGCAAATGAGATGTCCCTTTTTAGTCAATCGATGTCGGCCAGCCGATGAATTTCAAGGGACTAGAAGTTAATTCAGAGTAAAGCATTCACATGTTTTGTTCAAATTATTATTAGAATATATTTTTTACATATTATAAAAATATGAATACTAAAAACTATTAGAAAAAAAAGTGTAAAAAATCACATTAACATTTATATAAAACAAAATCAATTTCCGTCAATTCATATAAATGAAGTTGTCAAAATTACACAAATTCATCATGTTAAAACATTACATGAAATTATTATGTAAAAATTTATCTGTAAAAACAGATAAAGTGTAATAACTACATCTAAACACTCGTCTATACTACCTTGTTAATTAGCCAATCATAACGATACGAATCATAAAATGGACTGTTCACAGAATAAATCGATTAACTTTGCTTCATTATAAACATTACAAATCTTGACAACGGTTGATTTATAATATAAGCATAGTACAATCAACCATTTTATTATCTGTGGTAGGTTAATTTTCTTTAAGCTTTGCAAACTTTTAATACAACTGCTGTGTCGATTAACTTCATAGACAAATGGTAATCGTGAGATATTGTAATCGCGGCAGCGAACACTTAAACATCACGAGTGAATTCATTTCCGCTCGTGTAGATTAAAAGTTAAGAATTGCTTTAACCAATACTAACCTCACGTAGAAGCAATTGCAACTTTCGATGAAAGTTACATGCATTCTACAAGGGTTAAAAGACAAAGGAGTTTTGAAAAGGGAATCCACATTTGGTGGGTTTTGAATTCAATCGATTACTGAACGGCTCACACAAAAGCAGTCGTAATAAAATCAAAAACGAGACATCGAACAGAACATCCTACAACGTCACGTCAATTCTAATTTGCAACAGGTTAGCGAGACGATGATCATTTAGCACTGCCAACTGAGTAACGAACGCCTGTGCAGAGAGCACCGAATATAGAAATGGGGTTCATCATCGGTAAAAATACACACCGGCCGACGACGGAGTTCCCGATTATGTACAGAATAGTGATCCAATTTTTTTTTACGTTTTTATTTCTGTTTAGGAAATATCCGGGTGCGCGACGCGCCTTCGGCCAGGGCTGAGTTGAGTGGCGTGTCTCATTTGGACAGTTTACTGATAACTCTGATGAGCGCTCCGTTCTCGTCCTTCAGTCGCTGGTTCTCCGCTTGAAGCGCTTGGTGATACTGCAAATGCAATTGAGACCGGTATTATTTAGGACAATCGACAGAATTACATTTCACAGTGGAACTCTATACCAGAAGTTTAACTAAACCGCCACAGCCAAACGGCTTATAGGGGCTTGTAAAGTTTTACATTAAAAACTGCTGCAATTTCATATTGCAACTTTGTGCAAGGAGCTATAGATGGATTAATTATACTTATTAATGTTAAAAATGAAACATTGTAAACGAAAACATTAGCTTCTTTAGTGTTCACCACAATTATGGCACCAAAAAGAGCAAGTTCATATTTACAGGGCGACATTTAGGCCAGGCATTGGGTAATGAGACAATTTTTGTTCTTAAGCTATTCAAAATATGCATCAACAGTTAAAAGGTAACTAGGTTAACTTTAAAGTATGGCAAACTGTTAAAATGTTAATAAATATTCTATTCAAGAACAAAATCAAGAATAAATGGATTTCCGTCACTGTCCGTTTTATTTATTTCTCGTTTTTTATTTTGTTCCATACATTTTTTTGATTCGGGGTACACTTGTTACTAAGCAATACCAAATACAAGAAATTATAATTTTACCCCGCTCATCCTTAACACTTATGTAAAGGAAATGTACTGGGTATTATGTTGTGTCTGTGTTTTGTTAAATACACTTAGAAACCGAAAACGAACAAATATTAGAACAATTTGAAAGCTACATTAAATGGAAGGAAAACACAATTTCCTAACAGCAATGAACTCAATGAACTGGATGTTCGTGTCGTGCGTTAACTTTATTTATAATGACCATAATGTTGCGAGACATGCGGCTTGCACAGGCCCCCGATAACTTATTATGCGTTTTTGATAGTCGCCATTGAACAGCTACTGAAGTTCGTTTCAACAGTTACCACAATAAAAAAAAACCTTTTTCTTCAAACAATGACAACAATGCAAAAAGGCGGTGAGAATATAATAAAGTGTTACAATGTATATTTCCATACAAATTACTTTATTTTCGATTTGTTAGCACAAATTGTGAGTGATTATGTAACACAGTTTTATGTTATTATGTAACAATGAATATGTAACACAGTTTCCCACGCGAGCAGTTAACACTACACATCTTAATCGTAAAAAAAAAGACACAAAGATCGTCGGGAAACGGCGTCAAGTTCGCTAGACTAAAGGAAAATATTATACTGACGATTTCGCATAACAACGTTATCTGGAGAGGCACTGGGTAGCGGGCCGGCCCACAACTCGGCCGGGTTAGCGCCGGAAAGCATGCGCGCGACACATGGTTAATGCGAGTGGGGGGGCGGTAGGGGGCACAGGACCCAAACTGGTGCGGTCAACGGGCCACGGTCGTCTGAATAAGCGCTTTATGAAAATCATAATGCATTCCTATCTCCCTTTGAGAGTTAACAACCTTAATAAATTCAAAGAGCCCAATCGTTACAGGCAGCGCAAAACTTAAACGCGCATGAACGAAGTCGGTTCCGCAAGTTCTGCGCAGATACGGTCAGGCGCAAAAAGCCATCATATAAATGGGGGGAATACCTTAACCTCCATTTATCATATCCTCTTCGATACCTACCTATTAAAACTTTGTACTGCGCAATATAGAACGCGGCAAACGTAATAGCGGCTGTTAAATTAGGGAGAAAGAGCTGCGCAGTATCGAATATTAAGTGTGCGTGACGGGAAAGTGGGAGGAGGAACACATCCACCCATTGTCCTTTGTACCGCGTACAAATTAAGTTCAACAACAACAACGGGCACATAATTGTACGCTTGTGTGCCCGGTGTATTCGTACGCTGCACACCTCTGCTCAAGTACAGTCATACTCAAAGTTTTTACGGATGCTACTTATAATAAAAAATCAGCTGAACTTTTTGTTACAGTTGCATTTAAAAATATTTAAGCGGCTTTATAAAGTGTAATCAGTAGATTTAGCAACATTGACTAACAATGTATTTTCGTGGTCAAATATAGTTATTTGACAATTGGACAAATTTTATAATAATTCTAGTTAAAACAAATATAAGCATAAAAGTTAATAGTTTATTAAAATATTGTTTCTCCAATGAATACGCAATAAGATCATCAAGTTTTAATATTAATTGCACTTTTATTTCTAAAAATGCCGAGTTGACTATACCTACGCGAAGCGCAACTCGCAGCTCACTTCCAAGCCGTCATTAAATTTAGCGCATCCTAGATCTTGGGAGAATTTGAGAAGCGTATTTAAGTTTCGCGAGCCCTTTAATTCGAGAACGGATGGAAGTAACGGTCTCTTCGGACACCGTATGCGATGTAAAATCATGATTTGAAATGGTTCCCACAATAAAAATGGCAATTAAAACTGTTCAACGGATTAAAACACGAAAAACTTGGTTAAACATTTTCATTTCGGAATTCTGAAACGGTTCCAAACGGTGCCGGTGGGGTTAATGTGTAAAATGAAACACGGATAAGGAAAGCACACAGCATTGACACGGAATCGACCGGCCGGGAGCCCGTGACCACACCTTGCGCCACTGGAGCGGTCGCCCAATCCAACACATTTTACCTATTTTGCGGCAGAGTTGGTCAATTTGCTCACGACCCGCGTTAGGGCACGGTTCTCAGCTCTCAGCCTTTCGTTCTCGGCTTTAAGTTTTTGCAATTGCTACAAAACGAACACCAGCATTACAACATGTTGTCGCAGTTCGGCGGCGACAGTTGCGCCATCACGACGTCCGCCGCATTTAGCGATACTAGACTATAGAAGCTGGTACACAGTTTGGTTATTTAAAATAACAAAAAAACTCTATGTCTCGTATGTGTTTCTGTAAATGGTGAAATAAATAAATAGTTGGGATACCTTCAGCTCTTCTTCCATTTCCGATAGTTTCCTTTCCATAGCGCGTTTTTCTCTCTTATCGATTTCGGATAGGGAGTTTTGATTCTGCAATGTTCAAGCAATAATCATTATTGAAGAGTGTCTGACGCGTTAGGTTCAACATCGCGATGCAAATTATTGTAACCGTCGCAGGGGCTTATACACAATGCAAATTCATTAATAAATGGCTACACGCAGGCAAACAGTCGCAGTAGGCATGATTACCAGATTGACATTAGAGGCCAAAACTTGCGCTAATCTATCGCGTTGACAGATTGGCGCAAACGCGCACGTAATTAGTGCTAAGCGGTGGGCGGGGATTAGTCAAATGTTCTAAAATAGGGTCACATCTGTCCCAAGATTATGTTCAACACGCTACTGAAGTGTCACGGTCGTGAAATGCGCCAGAATGTCACACGAGCTGTTTGTATTATTTTACTACGAGAAACTCACACACTGTTTCAACGCAAGCCTTTGGAATGACCAAACAACGATATTTTATTCTGCTGAGGGAAGATAACATAGTGAAAAAGAAAATAATGTTACAATCCACGAATAAAATATAAACGTAATTGATACGTTTTCTCACAAATCGGCAAATAATCATCGATAGAACATAAAGAAAAACTGATTACAAAATATATTTCTATACAAGTAAAAGTTGATAATAATATTTTGAGAACAGGCAATCTGCTAACATTTAAGTAGATCACTGCGTATGAACAAATGTAACAATAAACATTCACTACTTGTCATGCACCAATCATGCTTTAGAACACTCGATACACATCTCAGTGAATCACTACTATATATCACACTATTATCATAAATAAAGGCCTAATTTATAATAACCAGCCTAAATTAAACTAAGAAAACAGTAGTATTCGTCCCCAGCAAAAGAAGGAAAGCGCAATCTGTTTAACACAAAGTTGCGTAGCGAGTTTATGTGGAAACAAACAAATTGAGGATAAAGAAACAAACGCTGACGGTTCCAGTGAAATCGATGCAATAGTTATGGTGTTATTGCTTCAAAAATTACAACATCGTTCCACCTATGAGAACAACAACCAATATTCAAAATCGCAATTCGCTTATGTACTGGGTGGAATCAAAGTGAGTAGCACAGTTCATACCACTTGTGTAAGCCTGCCGATGGTCGCGCGAGCCTCGCGTAGCTGTTGCTCGGATGTGGTGAGGAGTGCTCTAAGGCGGCGTACTTCACTCTGGGATGCTTCGTACAGTGCTTTGTAGTCCTTCTCTTCGCCGTCGTCTGTACGTTCGCTGCCAGACTGCAATGTTGAGGCGAAAAATGAGATGACCGTCGATTAAAAGTTCAATTACGGCAACACTCAGGGTAATTGATTGGATTTTCGCTAGATACATTGAATACGGTAAAGTCATTTCCTCAGTAGACCCAGTGTAATGCCCTTTATAAAAACAAGAAGTGGGCAAAGCTTGAACGACACGATGCAAAACTCAAACGAACGAGTATGATTTCAGTGTTGCGCGTCAGATTTCCTTGTCAAACAAACAGACTGAAAGGCCGGGAATTAGATCTTTACATAGCATTTATGCTAACAAATCGAGTCATATATTTTCATATGTTTTGTATGGACTCAAGACTACTTGAACTTCGTTCTAAATAGTTATCTACGCTGATGAATCTGTTAAATTGTTACTACTTGAGTAAGTTTAGAAGGCAATATTATTACCGATTAATAGTGCCTTCTGAGGACAAAATTATTACCGATTACATTAATAAATCAAAACATGATAAAAATATAACACAAATTAACTATTGTATAAAATTTTAAAATGAATCAGTTACATAATAGTTAACGCTTCACCAATAGTGTTTTATCTAATACGACATCCAAAAGCTAAAACGTTCCATTTATCCAAAAATGTATGCTTTAGTATATATATTTCAAGGAACGTACACAATATCCATCCGAAGCGAGCGAATTTAAACTCAACGAGCGCGAATTTAGGGTCGCTGACGAGTCGAGCGCGGTAAGCGAACGCGAGCGCTCTTTGTTGAGGCCACCGCCCCTACTTCCTGAGCGCGACCTCCGCTCCGGCCTCACGGGGGGCGCTTCCGGCGTTTCAGGCAACTCTACAGCTTCGACTACCGCCGGCGCCTCCTGCACCTTCGCCGGGGGCACCGGTTTAGGCTTGAAGTTCTTTTGGCTCGCCAATATTTTTTTGTCCAGCTTTTTTAAAACCGGCGTCATCAAGTTCAAAGATCCCAATGTTGCACTACTCAAATACACTCCGCCGTAACCGGAACTGGTACCACCGTAAATGCCCAAGTTAGAGGGCCGACCCAGGCCAACCGTGTATGGGTTGTAGTTCCTGTACGAGCTAGACGTGTAGGAGTTCGAATAATTGTTTGTGTAGGGGCTGTATTGACTGCTGAACATCGAACCAAACACACTCGGCGACGAGCCATAGCTCCGTGGTCGAGATGAGTATCTATCTGGTTTCCGACTCATCTCGCACGCATCCCACTACGACGCGATAAGGCACGAACAAGACGGCGAGCGACCGCCGCGCGACATGAGAACACACTGAATGTTTTTCGAGTCTTATAAATCTATGCGGTGTGAAAATATTGTCGACGCCCACACCAAGCGCGGGTCCGTAAATTTTTGCGAGCGGTATGCCAGTGACGCGGCGTAATAACCAGACGACACGGCGCAATTCAAATGGACACATAAGGAAATCATTAGCAACACATGTAGCTCTAAAACGACACGCACCGACGACACAGTGCCATTGCAGACGGTAGATTTCGTCCTAAACGCCCGCATGAGCTACAATCTCCGAAATAGAATACAACATTCTAGCTATTATTGTCGAACACCGGTCATCACTCAGTTAATTGTTTCCATCAGCATTGGCATCCGAACCGAAGGTCAGTCGGAGCCTTGTATGTTCATCGTACTCCCTCGGTACACATGCGTCATCAACAAAATATTAATAAACAATACTTATTTCGTACGGAGGACAAACAAAACTTCGCGAAAACAGTTGCAATAGAAGCGGGAAGTAGGAAGTAAAAGTTATTTATGTATATAACATCTTCTATGACGACACATACGTGCGCAGTTTGAAGAGAAATGATCAAGCAAACGCTTAAATAAATGTGCTAAATTGCAGAAACGTGTGGCGATGCCTTTTGTCTTCTGCAGACGAAAATAAAATCTATTTTCAAGTTTACACAGATTACCGTTCAGAACATCGCTGACCCAAATAATGATTTGTTTATAACAGTCTATTGGGGACGACTGGAATTTTGAACGACAAAACGCACTGAAACCAATATAGACGGTTGTGAAAGCAAATTATAAAACGACTGGCTATTTCAGTGCAGGCAGGAATGTGATCTTATTTAAAGTTCTGGAACTGTTCGTTCTCACGATCTACTAGAGGAACCCTTACTAACCAGGATTTCATATCTTATCCTTTAAACGAGCAATTCTTGTATATATATATATATATATATATTATCGGAATCTCGGAAACGGCTCCAGTGATTTTCATGAAATTTAGTATGTGCGTAGATTCGGGGGCGAAAAATCTAGCTCGGTTTCATTTTTAGAAAATGTCCCTTTATCCCTATTTTCAGGGAATGAAAAATATAATTCGAATATGACGGTAAATTTCGCCGCAAAAGAAAATGTCATAATAGCTCGGTCGGTAATCGGGCGACCCCAAAACAGACGGCCGTGGTTCGCGTCACGATCATTTACACATTTATTTTTTTACTTTTTTGTCGATTTTTTATTTTGTTACTTTTTTCCCTTTTTTTAAAGTTGTTTCTTTTGTGAAAAACGCCACTTCATATTTTCTTATTATTAGGTCGGTAAGATCGAAAAATATTACGCATATTTCATTACTCAGTAATTTGTATCTAAATGTAATTTCCAAAACACACGATTTACCAAAAAAAAAAAACAAACCGAGCAAAGCTGGGTCCTCCGGGTACTTTAATTACTACATAGGAAGTTACTTATGACTGGACGGTTAACAGCGTCATACGGCCATGTGTACAGTAATATGTGGCGTCGTCATCGACGAATAGATAGGCGTGCTAAAAATAATGCAAGTTTCCAAACTCACATCAAATTTCACTTCAACGATACAAAAGTTTCTCAAGATTACGACTAGCTAATTTTACAGATGGGCAAAAAGTTTATATTACGGGAACACGCGCAAGAATTATTTATAGCGTTGGTCTAATTACAAGAACCGCGGATAATGAAACACCGTTTGGTGGTGGTGAAATTTGCCAACATTTGAATCTAAGCATCAAACATGGATTGAATCCTAAAGCAACATCATTTGCTGTTCTGTCCTTTTATATAAAACAGCGCCGCCTTTTATTCACCGCGAATAGAAACGCTGACCAAACATTTAGAAATTATACTCGCAACATGACTCACGAAGAATGTTTTTGTCGGTAGCTTTCGGCCGGCTTATCCTATAACAGATACCAGTTTGTGAATCAGCCCATAAAGTTTATTCAAACCGCAGTAGATTGGTACTATTGCTAAAAGATGTAGGTACTTTTCATTTTATATAGATTCACAAAACATTCCATTTTCCTCGTTTTATACCAAATTGGAGAAAACGGATAAGACCTTTATACTAGTGTTATTTTGTTTCATGATTCATTTACATCGCGACGGGGATATTTGGATGATTTTAAGATTGACAAAAATTCATTCATAAAAAAAATAATACGTTTAAAGATTTAGTTTCAATAACGCTAAGCGGTCAGTCACATTTGGCTACGACTATTTATTTATTATCTCATCCTCTTTTGACTGCTTTTTTTACTTTTAAATACTTTTTTACGTTTGATGTGTTTTACCACTATATATATCAAAATGAATTACATGAATAGTTCAGACAAAAAACATAGATATGTACATAAATGTTAGTTTTTAAATTTGTACATTACAATACATTTTATTATTTAAGTTTAGCTAGATAAGAGTCCTAACTGCATAATACGTGAATGAATATTTCAATGTGTGTACCATCTTTGAGAAAATTTAGGTGCCGTGGGTACCTGACAGCTCGAGGCAGAACAATTCTCAGCGGATCTATAAACCAAGGTATAAATTCCTACGTTAGGCACCTGTATTGTATACAATTGACGTGTGGATTTATGGGTCGTTTAGCACGCTCAATATCCTCTGGATTCAAGCCAATACGTCAATTTTTCACTAATATTACAATGTGCTGTTAAGGCCGTGCATACGAATATTTAAAAAAAACATATATGTATTGCTCGTAAAAAGTTATACTTCTTTAACGTACATAAAGAAAAATAACTAAAAATTTTATCCCCTATATATTATATATTCTTTGATTGTGAAAAAGTCATCAAAAGTTTAAAACCAATTGATAACGGTTTAATTAAATATCTCGATAAGGTAAATGTCAAAAAGTTGTCACCGAAATATCGTGAAGTTGGCTTTGCTCAACTTCAACATGTCGCTTTTTGGCTGTCGGTATCGTAAAAATTTTACTCTCATATTTTTTTTCAAATGCGCAAAATAAGTAAACCTTCAAAAAACAACACTTAAAACAAAAAAGCTGGCATTTGGCCTTTAAAGGGATTTTGTTTTTTAATTTTAAATAGATATACATTTAAAATACTAGGTTCGTAACACGTAATTCGTACAGTCCGTACAGTGTAATAACACTCTAGATAGTTTAAATAAATTTGAGTTAGTTTACACGAGAATTTAAGTATTTTAGATCATCAAAATTGCTATAAAACGCAATGTCTCCAACATTTTATACTCGAACCAAGTGTACATTGCGTTTAAGTACCAGATCGATACAATTCATCGTATTACGCCCTAATTTAAGAACAGAACTTTCAATACTCTGTCGGGTTGTCAAAACATTACGACAGTTTATGTGTCGAATTACCCTATAATTCACGGGCAACATCGGTTTGTCAAATAGTGTCGTTCCGACGCAGCGATGTGGCTCTCTCTGAAAATACACCACTCATTGTTTGCTTACGTCAATGCGACGAATGTGATGTGTGGCACCTAAAATGTCGCTTAACGTATAAATATATCAAATGTTCTTTTTACACTATTCGATAAATAAAAAAGGGTGAAAGTAATGAAATAGCTGTAATCGAGAATATTTTGCGAAAAGACGAAAAAAACTAGTTACAAAAATCACCATTAGTTGTGACCAAAGCCCATAGTGAAGTCATCCAATATTGACATTCAACAAAAGGAGCAGTGGGTTTACGTGAAATTATATTTATTAATAGAATCTACCCATCTGCGGAATCTTCCAGACGTAACGTAACAGTCGAATTCCTAACTTGAATCATCCGTGAATGGATACTGCTACGCGCGTACTATTTTGGGTAAAGCTGGAATCATAAATGTGAACCAATCGAAATCTAAGAGAATATAGTCAGCGTCCATTGACGGCGTAAAAATATAAAACCCTTTTCATTTTGAATATTGGGTCGAGCAGCATAATAAATTGAACGGGCAGAACAATAAAGTTGGAAATTGATAAGGTCACTGAGTTATACTGGCCAAAGAATTTGAACCGACTATAATATCACTGAATAATATTGATTATGTAATGTCAGTTTGGAAATCAGTTGTTTAGCTTAGGGGTTAAAGCCTCTGGGCGCGAATCCGGAAGACGTGGGTTCGAATCCTGCAGGGGCGAAACACTTTCTGTACTTTTTATCCGACTGCGCCGGAAGGAGGCTTGTGTTTTTCGAGAGTCTGTATGTATGTATGTATGTATAATTGTCTTCTTGTATCTTGTATTAACTGATGTTTGTGCTTTCAGTCCCGAGACTATTAAAGCTTCATCTGACGCAGAACCGGTGGGCTAGCCAGAACCCACGGGTTTGGGCCCTCCGCTGTGGGTAGGGCCACGCATGTGCTCATGCGTACGTTTAAGTGTGGTATGTCATCTAAGGGCCATCGAGGTCGCGGTTCGGACCGAAACCCCGATGGCCGTCGACTGTGCAATTAGCTAATCGGTGGCTGGGAGCGGTGAGAACCGCCCCGGAACGCGGGTGTACCTTGTGTACGCGTTGTGTTGGTCTCGCCGTGCTCGGAGGCGAGGGCGAACTAGTATGTTTGTTGTTGCACTAACTGTGGGTGTAGTGTTATCCGGCGGGACCCCCGGCGGTGGGTCCGGCGTATCTAAGTCCCCTTCCTCGGTCGGGACCTGTATAATTGTTTGGCACGCTCTGCAGGCAGGAAGCCAGCCGAAGGCTTGCTTGTGCTACCTTGAGAGGTGTTGTTAGATTCGATCGACTGTGAGAGTGACACTGGGTATATCAAAATAAATACCTACACAGAAACGCAGTCGGGTTTTTTAGTTTTTAAAATTATATTCTACTCGTTCCTAAAAATTTTAATATTTCGTCTAAGAGCAGAAGATCAGGACTTTAAATTTTAGAATTATCTTATACATGTAAAAATCTTTTAAAAGTTTTCACTTTAACAAAGTGCCGGTTAAGACAAAAATAGTGAGATGTGGCAGAGTTTTACGGCTGCAGTGAAATTTAATTTTAACAGGTGGGCTGCGGCCAACCACATGTCTATATGAACTGAACGACTGACAGGCGGTTAATGAAACAATCGCTGGTGGCAATAAGTCATAAACCAGACTTTGAATCAGTTCGGACAGTTATGAAAAATGGTAATTTCATCAAGTGTGAAGTCAAATTTCATAAATACAATATTTACGTTTCTAATTATTTCAACTTAATTAAACTAATGATATAATAATCAAATTATATTTGAGAATTAAATTACTTTCCGTTTGAAAACACTGTTTTGTGCAATTTTAGCAACGAGAATTAGGGAAACGTATACAACTTCAACTATATATAATAAATTTTAAACTTACACAAAAGTAATTTCAATTATTAGAAATTAAACGCAATTCCTACAACATTACACATTACTTTTGAAACTTATTTATATTGCTTATTTAAGAAATGTGTCCTTCAGAAATGTGCAATTGTTTCAACATAATATGATCGATCTATCTTGATAACTAAGATCTATCGTTTGTATTGTGAAGTGTACAACAGATAAAAACACTTAAGATTAGTTTAATAATAATAATAATAATAATAGTGTAATATTAGAAAAGTGATGAAAAAGGAGTATTATGATTACGCGTGGTCAGATGAGGTTATTTCCGTTTGGTGCTCCGAGAAGCATACAGTCTATTTATATCCACGTTCAAGAAACTTCCGATTTACATAAATATGGAGTAGACTTATTTGCGTGCCAGGTTTATTTTGATACATTCCTTTAGTCCCGGGCTCTAGAACAGGACTAAGGTGTCTCCGCCTGTCGTGAAAGGCGACTAAAAGGGTACACGGATTGGCAGCAGCACGATGTGGCTCCGAGCTGCTTCAAGATGGCGAGAGAATCGGGGAAGATTTATCCTTCTCCGAGGCGTGCACGCACAGTACCGAGGGATACCGGTGCGTTCCGTAGGAGATCCCGGAGTCCCTCCAAACGTACAGGAGGTGGCCACCGAGGGGGTTTTAGTGGGTAAGAACCCCAACATAACCCTGTCATGTAAAATGACAGGGTATCTTTTGCAGATTCCCCCCCACCCCCCGATACCAAAAAAACAAAAGGTTTATTTTGATATTCCATTTTCCCGCTTCGAAAGAAGCACTTGGCGAAGGCAAGAGACGACAAATCAAGCACTCAATCAATGAGGCACAAATCTGCCGTTCAATGATAACAAGATCTGTTTCTTAGATAAAACGAAATAATCTCAGCTGATAAAGCTTTAACTAGGACAGATTAAAATACCGTGTTACAGTTATATAGCATGTTTGTCATGACAATCATACTGTGTTATTAACTTTAACAAATATATGAAATCATTATCATTTTAATGGAAAAACTATAAAATCTTTATAACAGTACGCGACAAGTAAAAATATATTTAATTCTCATGTAGAATGTAAAATTATAAGTGTGTCCGACAGTACAATATATGAAATATTCTGTCTAGTCTCGTTTAGAGTTCTAACCAAAATTAGACTGCTGGGTTGGTCTACATGTGTCAGAATGTAGAACACAATCACGATAAACCCGGTTTCTTATGATACCAACATGATTCTATTTGTACGGCCGTAAAGAGCTGTATTAAACCCCTAAACACCGTTCCAACATACATGTGTGAATATTTAAGGTTTTTAATTGTAAACAGAAAAAATGACAAAAGTCAGTGACCAAAAGGAAAAAGAGCGTGACCACTGCGCTGCAAAAAAATAATGAATTATAGTTGCCGACTCTTAATGCCGTTGTTAAATTCATTTATTTACTATTCAGTTTATTGGCAGTGCCGTTTTTAATATTCAAGAGATATCCGGCTTCGGACAGATTGATATCAATAAAATATTTTTTTTTAAACGACATCAATTTTAAATGCAGATTTTACTTAAATAGAACAGTAGACACGTTAAAAAACATCAATGTAACATGGAATTGGTTATCTATTAAACATTTAAAGGACTTCATCGCTTTAATAAATAACAATTACACGTACCTGAGCGTTATCGATGTCCCCATCGCCTTCCCCGCCTCCGCCGCGGTCGTTGACAATGTCCTAGAACAACAATGCAACCCGTGTAGCAATTAATCGCTGCGATTATGTGGAAAATTTCAATACCGGACCGTAGAGCCGAAATATCATTGGACGTACGAAAACAGTTTACGTATCAGTTATTGGCCAATCACTGGCGAGTGTCCAGAAAATATGTCTAGTATCGCGTTGCCAGTGACACTGCCTTCTAAGAAAACTCTTTGTTCACCACTTTAAAAACACACTGGCATCGAGACAGACGGTAGTCGGCGTCCGCAATAAATATATCGTCGTGCGTTGGGTATTGAAGCCTAGTATTTATTTTATCGCAACACCTGGGGAACAAACAGCACATGAATCATGCGGTGTCGACTTAGCTTGAGTAAATATCCTTGTTTTTACGACATATAGTGGTTTATACTGACTGTCATATGATTGAAATATAAACGAAATGCAGGTGAAAAGTAGCGATTTTTTTTTATTTACTCATAAATATATGATTATATACATTGGTTTCGTAACGTCACATCCTTACTACTATTATAAAGGCGAAAGTTTGTATGTATGAATGTATGTATGTTATACTCTTTCACGCAAAAACTGCTGAAATTCTAATGAAACATTACAATAATATAGCTTATACATCAGAAAAAGACATAGGCTATAAGTTATGTACATATTTTATGTAAATCTGTCTTTCTGTCTGAATGTTACGCCTTCAGCCTATTCTACGCAGACGTAGTCGCGGGTAACAGGTAGTAATCAAATAAAGCAAATATAATAATACTAACTAAACAATGTACACACTGGTACTTAATGTTTATTTTTAATTTATTTTTTAGTTGTACGTTTAAATTTTGAATATAGAAGTGATCATTTCACTTTATTTGTGAATGTTTGATTGGATTGACTATACTAGTTACATTTTATCAAACATTTTCAGACTTAGATGCATAGTTCATTTCAATTATAGAAAGGTTAAATATTGAAAATACTTTTATGTCACATGCAATGGCGCATATTACTAAGCGCCTTTCGAAATTCGGATTTTTAAGCGGACAATTCACTGCCTCATTATGCACGAACGTGAGTTTTGAATTCTTGTCATATATTGAGATTCTTAATGTCTTATCCTATTATTAAATAATAAACACCGTAGAACGGAAAGTTGATGTTACCCGAGATGTTCAGAGTATAGAAATACATATTCGAAAAGTAGTGTTTGTGTGTGCTTTACACATCGACGGTCAAGTAGAAACAAAACGTAACGAGGTACAAAAGTAAAAGCTGGGGCATAAGACTTATGGTATAATGGTCGCGGATTCGTCTCCGGATTCCTTACAAAAATTATCCTATAAGTCTGTACCGCTGTCAAGTTTTTAGCCGGAATGGATTTATGAAGCGTTATTTCAAGATCAGCAAAATCATTTCCTAAAACACTTTGGATATCATTTAAGTGATACGTTATGTTATTATGAATCACTTAAGCAAGATTGGTAAAGTTTTTAAGTGCATGTCTGAAACCTGTGTGCACGCAACTGGCCTCAAGGGACTGCATAAAGTTTCATTGAACGAAGATACTACATATTTTACGACCGTAGACAAGTAGGGTGGCGCATGTTTACATGCGCATTGTTATTAAGGAGAGGAGGGGGGGGAGGGGGTGTGTCAGTTAAACACCGTCGGCACCGGCAAAGCACCATGTACCAAAGGGTGGAGGATCCGCTAAAGCATTTTCTCACACGTAAACAGGTGCAAGGGGATCCACAAGTGCGGGGGGGGGGGGGGGGGTGGGGTCTTCATAAAGGAATTTTCCCGCGTAAAAAGAGGGCGTTCCACTTTTCCTCTCGCAAAGGGCTTCCCCTTTGCGAGGCGAGGGGGAAGGGGTTTTTGGTGTTCCCAATCAGGACTCATCACAATTAAAAACCGACAGGGTGTCACGCGGGGGCCCGGTACTCACGTCCATGTCCACGTGGCCGACGCCCGTGGAGCGTCGCTTCGGGCGGCGGCGGCGCTGGATCACGTTGAGGGCGGCCTGCGTGCTCGCTGGGGACGCGCTGCCGGCGGGCGCCTTGCCGTCGCCGCCGCTGTCGCGATCCCTCTCCTTCTCCTCGGCTGAGGGCGCGCGTTTTACTGTGGTAGGGCCTCGCAACAGTTTTCACCGTTGCCCGAATGGCCAGCTCCGTCCGGGTAATTGCCATGGCCTCACAGAACACCGGCGTGAAGTAGATGTTACACTTCTGCGTTTCGTCTGGTGAGTGAGGTACCGGGGGGTAAGACCAGTGACCAGCGGCAGTGTTATACTGTCTCGTTTCGTCTGATGATTGTAGTAACCGGGACCCAGATTTTCAAACGCTGGCTCAAATGCCATCCGCAGACAAACAGTTATTGTAGATGTCCATGCAGGGGTAATTACTTTACATCAGGTGTACCGTCTGCTCAATTTCCAACTTTTCCTATAACATATATGCGAATAGTCAATAATCTCGTCAGTTTGTCCAGGCACCGCAAGACGGCAGGCTTACAGAAGAGACGAACAGGCTTTTTACTCAGTAGTTAAATATTTTTTCATTGCAAAATCTTGAATATTATTTAATATTCCACAACAGTACAATTGTTGATAACTATTTTATGTCATTTCTAAGTGATCTAACTAGAAATGAAAACAAGGCTTTTCGATTCTTCACTAAAAGTCAATTCTGCAAATTCTTGCCTCCTTAGATTTTTTTTTACATTGCCCTTACTTTAAGATAACATTATCTTGTGTTGTAAGGACGTTTTACAAACACCCAGATGCGAAACAACTGTTTGTGGATCACACAAATAGTTGTCCCGTGTGGGATTCAAACCCACGACCCTTACGCCGAAGCCAATACCTTGGCAACAGCGCCACGGAGTCATCAAACTTTTCAAATAGGTTCAATATGAAACTGTTGTTCCATACAAAATCACTTTGATGTTAATTTCTCTACAAAGCGCAAATATATCGCATGACCTAAAATTTTAAATTTTCAATGACTTGCTTAATTTTTTGAACATCTCTAAAGAAAAAAAAAAAACAAAAAACAAACTGTTCTCGATTCTACTTCAAACTGTAGTGGTAGAGAGAAGTAGAGCTATTTTAACTGCGGCTGACCCAGATGCCCAGATGGCATCATCCTCGACCGTAGCTCCTTAGCTATCTAGACAGTCTATCTTGCAATGACTTAAAAATCATTGCATCGGAGGCGCATTAAGTACTGTATTGTACTGTACCCCGACTCTCCTCTTTGCTGGACGTGTTGTTTGTGTTGGTGGAGTTGGTGTTGGTGGTGGTGGTGGTGGTGGTGGCGGTCGCGCTGGAGGCGGACGGCGGGCGTCGCAGCGGCAAGGTGACCGTCGCCTCGGCCGCGGCGGTGTTCACCACTGGCCCCGTCGAGGAGGGCCGCGTGGCCACCCTACCGGCGTCCTCCAACTCGAACTGGCCACGCAAAGGACTCGTGTTATTCTCGCCGGCAATTGTTCCTTCGAAGTATCGAACGGCAAAACAATAATTGAATTTGGCCGTTGAAGTGTTAAGCATGGTTTTTTTTTTTTTTTTTGTTAAGTGTTCGTAAAAATTATTGGCATTAAATTACTGGCTTCGATAAAAAGGACAACCTTGTATTTCGGCTCCTATCGTTTTTAAGTAATGACTTATAAAGATTACTTATACTACCTAGTTAACACACTGCCTTGTACGTATACCAAATAGCCTTTACATCTATATTATTTACATACACCGATCGGTACAAAACTAGTATAATGAACCCTGGTTACCGTCTAGGGTTTTATCAGTTTAAAACTGATAAAGGATAAGTTTCAGACCATAAAACCACAGACGATGACCGATTAGAATTAAACTTGTAATGGAAAAATCAAAAAAAGGACTCATTATCTTTGAACTTTACGTTCAAAAATAAGAACTTTCGTAGATAATAGCATAAATTATAAAATAAACTAACACAAAACACACCAGAACTACAATAAATTATACCATCGGAAGGTTAGAACGTTAAAGAGGTGTATATTGAAAAACACGGTTTAAAATTTACAAACGGACACACAAACCAAGATTATAACACAATAGTCTTGCATCATACGTGTGCAAGGCGATCCGCGAAACAGATATATCGGAAAGCTTTTAAAAAAGCGGCAAACTGGCATGCACAAAAACAATACATTTTTACAGTACTCCATGATCTATAGTTTCCACTCCACATCCTCGAAAATAACAATATTAATACTCTTAATTTCAAAACGATTTCGCGCTCGAGCAGAAACTATTTCACATGACGGTAAATTTTAAAAATCTACGAACAAGGTAAGGAATCGGTTGAGTAATGTATCCATCATCATCATATTCGGCTGACTAAATTTTTTTAAAACATCGCACACAAATCAACAAACTTACAAACACGCGAAGGCAAACGAGAAGCATAAAACTCAGAACAGTGACAACAGACAGTGATGACATCGAATGATTTGTGAAAAACATAAATTTTTCCCTTCCAGAATGTTTTCCAAACCATGCGCCGATATCCGAACATTCGTGAACCTTCGACATAATGGAGCACGGCTATCAAGTGCTTCTATCGACGCGTTTTACTCTGCGTTGAGAATAATTAAACTTTTAACTTATTTCATACAAAAGAACAGTTGATAAATAAACTTTCCATAGCTATCATCGGAAAATTACCTTTCAAAATGCTCCACAGTTCAACAGATTTTTGTAAACAACATATAAGCGTTGCAGGTGTACTAATGCGTTATGTGCAATCTAAAATTATTGCAAATAACGTAAATATACTGCCAAATAAATAGGCATTTGCGTGATTGGCATCGGAAATTGTCCAAGTGTTACAACAGTTATTTTAAAATTATGTAAGTTCGTTCGCATACATTAACCAAGGATGGAAAGTTTATGTTATTCGTTAGAAATATTCCTAAAATCGGGCGTACGAACTACCCAAAACCCTGTATAAGAAAATTAACTCTCAGTTAGAAATTAGTACAATTACGTCCAGTAACGAAACGAAACACAAGCATGCTAACTACCTATCGTCTTAAACACTTGATAGCCGTATTTTTCATACACGGTAGCCATTTCATCGTATAGCCGTTTCGCGACTTGGATTCCACAGAAAGCACTGAAACAAGTGCACCGTCATCAAACTGATATAACGGATCAAACGTGCACAAGTCCGTGGTCGGAAAGAATTAAGCACAGTCTCGCAAAGTATGATTCACACCAAGACGGCGACGTCGGCGCAATACGAAAGTCATGCGTGAGCATGCTCCGTATTCAAGACTCTATCCAACATCGTATGAAGCGATAACGCTAAATATGTGTACATACGCTCGCTTTTATATCCATGTTACTCGAGCTTATATGTATATCTTCAAAATGTATTTCGAGTACATGTGAAGTCCGCCAATCGGCAGTAGGGTCGCATACTAGAGGCCCTTACCCAGAAGTGGGACATATGTAGGATGTTACTTTACTTTTATTTCACGTGGACCAACTAGGAGGCCGACATAATTGACTGGTGCCGATGCGAACGCGCCCGGCTGTGGCCGCCGCCGCGTCCGGTGTGAATAGTGCTTTGCGCGTTCGGCGCGTTGACGGCCATACGACGGGCGCACGGTGCGTCGGATCGGCGGGCCTATGGACCTTGTTGGTGGGGTCGAGACGCAGCCGCCACGAGGGGCGGCGCTCGCTGTTCGCGGCGATGGTCGCCGTGGCGGTGGCGGACGCGCTCGCCAGCGCCAGGGTCACTGCCGCCGCGCCGCCGCCGGCCTGCACGCGCGCCTATACATCGTTTGGGCCGGTGAGCCGAGGGCGGCGCCTTGCGGTACACCGCCAGCTTTTTAAAAACGGAACGCGCACGCGTCCGCTGTTCCCGCGTCGGTTCCTTAATGTAGTTGCATTCGGTTCGAACGGCGTGTATAATGGGGATTTTGGTCTATTCGAGCAATTGAAGTGAATGCTCATGAACCAGGGGGGAGGGCGACGCCTTGCGGTACCCTATCGGATTTTGAAATACGAAACGCACTCTCATCCACTATTGCCGTGTTGGTTTCTTTGCATGGATGCATCGGTTTGAACGGCGTGTCAGAGGGGTTTGTTCTATGCAAGCCATTAGAGGGAACGGACTCACCGTTTCATGTTCAGGGTTTGTAGGTCACTATTTTTACTGTCCCTAATTGTTGACGTGTATGAATCTCTACATTCTATTGAACATAAAAAAGGATATTTTTAAGTTTTAAGTGACTGCAAGTAATCGTTTGGGCCGGTGAGCCGAGGGCGGCACCTTGCTGTATGTACACCGCCAGCTTTTTGTAAACGGAACGCGCACGCGTCCGCTGTTCCCGCGTCGGTTCCTTAGTGTGGTTGCATTCGTGTGAGAACAACATACAGCTTTTGTACCCCATATCCTACTAACATCTCATTTAAATTACTTAAACAATATCTAATTACATTCGCCAAAATTGTTATTTGATATAAAATAGAGCGAATACAATAAATGGTACTGTTTTGTGAATGATCATGTATTACCACAATTGTCACACATCACTATTTAATAATAACTACAATAAAAAACAATCAAACCCCCTCGAGGTCTGTAAATTATGGCAAATTAGAGCTCCTCTTCATCGACAACCTTTGTAACAAGTTAGCAATTAAATAGTATATTTATTAAAGGATTTACTGATGTGTTATAACATTGAATGCGACAAAGAGCAGCACCGGTTCACCCACAGATTGATAACTCAAACAAACGTATTTACAAATCGTGTCTGTCGCTTAACTAACAACAAAGATTGAGGAAGTGAAACAATAATACAACTATAACGATAAGTGGCAGTAATCGGGTAAAATTAAAGAAAGAGCGAATCTACAATTTAGACATTTTCGATCGCTTTAAGCGCAATCAAATTGCGAACAAGCTTTTCCAATCAAATATTCAGTCGAACTTCTGCCAATATCGATGTGTGTAGATATATACAAGATGTATAGGGGAATGTGGAGGGTGGGGACGCAATTAAGGAAACACTGCTAACCGAGCTGGTTTCCGTATTGGACGGGGCGTCGTCCGTCTTCTTAACGGCCGCCGGCGGCTCAGCGGTGCCGTTGCCCGTCTTCTTCTTCACCAGCTGCTCGGCGGACTTGATCTCGTCGAGGGTCACGCCCTGGGTGGAGCGGCGCGTCTCTCGCACCCTCTTCGCGTGCGCCTTCCTCTGCGTTTCACTCTCCTCGTCGCGGACCGGCGGAACGAAGGACCTGAGCCGCGCGGACGGTCAGCAAAAGAGGCCGTTCCGGAGACGCGACCAGGCGCGTCTCGCATGGAAGCGTTTCATTCAACCGAGTGAGCGTAACACGGCAAATCATGCAAGCTGTTAACACGCTAGCGCGCCACACGTGAATTGTAAAGAGGGACGGTCATGCGTTCACACAGCGAGGACGAAACGCAAATCATATAATACGTCCGAGCGAAAAAAAAAAATCGGACCAAGCTCTACTAAAAAAAAAGTTAAGATATCACACATAGGTACATAATGTTTACTCGAACACGGAATCTTTGTAATTAATAAAAAAAACAAACATTACATTTGTAACATGTTGATATATCAATTAAATATATCAAAAAAGGCAAATAATTAGTGCTAAATTAAGAATATGTAAATTTGTACATTACTCTGAAAGGTGGTGGTATATAACAAGCAACGTCAACTCTATAGCTAACAATAAGAGAATAGGGTGAATAATGAAAACGAATACTGGGGCGGTCAAACAATTGCTCTAAACAACGACTACTTTAGCACTAATGTCAATAAGAAAAGCGTTCTCGTGTCCAAGTAAACAATTGACTACAGAGCGTGGGTACTTGAAGAAATTCTTGAATATGTTCCCCGGCGACAGTTTGGTGGGCGTGGCCGAGCTCGGGGTCGAATTGCTACTGTTCGACTCTACGCTTTCCGCGGAGCTGTCACACACAACAACTAGTAAAAATGTGTGGCACCTAAAATACGGCAATATTCCTGACGTTTCCAACATCATTTAATTAAAATCAGCATACGAATATTCATGGCCCACAAAAATATTCAAATGCCAAAATTAAAGAGAAACGTTGCGTGCAAGTCTATATTTACATTCAGTATTTAATCAATCGACAATCTACGTAAATGCATAATTATTTACTTTTAAATTGTACTTTTATTTAATTCATACACCTAATATATTTAATATTCTATAAATTTTCAACGCTACAGAATCACTGCTACTCACAAAATATTCCAATTAAATAATATCTATACAGAAATACCATTTTAAACCCCCCGAAAATTTATAAAACACTACTATGTGCCTATTTCAGTTTACATTTTTTGCTAACTCTAAATTTATTAAAATGGTGACTAAGAGAGTGAGTGTATTTTAAACAATACATGTACATACCTTCGAACAGTTGTTTGGGTTGTAGTGTTGGTTGGTGTGGAATTGACGCTGGTGGTGGCCGGAGTGTTCCACGAATTAGCATCCTTATCTCTGCGCTCTGTAGGGCTGATCCTGTATGCAAAGGACTTCATTGTGATATAATGCGTGGGGGGCATGGGCCAAATGTATTCCAGTGTCATTGTGTCCGATTTTTAAGTTACAAATTAACAAACAGATTGACTAGCACCAAGATACAAAACTAAAATCGTTAAAAGTGAACAAATGACAGATGAGAAACAAAGCGGACGTACAAATGTATTAATAGAACATTAGATGTTTAATGTTAAATGTTATGTGTACTGTTTAATATCTTTAATGATGTCTTACTGTGACCAATGAGCTCAGTGTAATGGGCGAATAAAAATGTTATTACATATCCATTCCAAACATTCTCAAAGCTTCAAATTTGCTTGCTATAAAAAGCAGAAACAAAAACTAGAAAGATAAATGACTACTTCCCGTGAATTAACAGTCCTTTTGAAATATGAGATGTCGTTTCTATATTATTATCAGCATCGAGAATTACCCACCTAATTACCTAGTGAGTATCCACGGGCGGGGGGGTGTTGAATTTCATATAATCAGGCACAATTAATTTCAAGTTTCATTAATTACTCTACTGCACTGTAATTTAAGCAATCCGTAAGCGCGTGAGAGCCGAACAGATTGGTCACAGCAACGCGGCAGCGCGTGGGGCACCTGATTTTGACATCCTCGTTAGTACTCTCAGACGCATTGTTAGTAGCCTCGTGACACTTTCGCCTGAGCTCGATCGCGGCCAGCGTGGACTGCGGCAGCGGCGGTATAGAGGGGCATGAGGACGCCTTTATCCTCGCCGTCACGTCCCGATAGCGCTGATAGAAGCTGCCCACAGAGACACAGGCACGCTACAGACTATATGCGAGGTGGCCGCGATTTTTTTTTAATTCAAAACTGGCCAGCGCCTGACTGCCTTCACACCTGATCGAAAGTGGCGATGCGGCCATTGGTGGTAAACGCTCTCAGTATAAACCTATTCACTCTTACTATCAAGACACTTTTTATGACTAGCTAATGTCAATTTTTATCTAACTGGTCAATACTGCTACCACAAAGAGACAGGCACGCTAAATTACTGTCTGGTTATCGTAAGTTTTTGAAACAAATGGCTAATAGTGGACTGCTACACCGATTTCAGTCATCGCAGTTGGTCCCTTGGGAAACTCCCAATTTATTCTGAAGCATTTGTTCCACTTCTATGCTGCACGCATTACTGGTGATTCAACACGAATGGTGACAGAATCTGCTGCAAGAAGCCTATGCATTCCTACTTTTAGAATCGCGTCGTGATGGTACATACAAATGAGGCTAACGGATTTCGAATAGCAACAGAAAGACGGGCCCTATAAGTTTTTCCCTACCCATTGTTGGAGGTTGAAAACTAAGTTATATTACGGGCAGACTTACAAAAATGACAATAATTGCCCCTTGTCTATATTAGCGAATGATAGGCTTTAGTAATACAAGTGTTACAGGTATGTTGATTTGAACGTCTGATGACACCTGTTATTTTAGTCTGTGACAGCTATTTTAGATAAATTAGTTCAGATGACAAGTGGGTTAACAATAGTTAGATTCATTTCTTTGACTTTAAATGTAATCGTTTTTCATTTGACGCATTAATGTAAATCATTACAAGGTATGTTTACAATCTGTGATAAAGTATCCCAAAAAACTTGTTTAAATAAATATACGAGAAATTAATTGAATTGTCAATTACAATACTCATTTCATATCAAAGGCAATATGTATCAACAGTATTTGTGAAGTCTGGATCCAAAAAAAATTTTAACCATATAAATTTCTAAAATATTTTGTTATCATACTTCTTCAATTTATTACTTTCATAAAATTCGTTACACAAACCGAAATAAATACAGCAAAAATAATAATGAAAGCTCAATGAAAATGGATAAAAATAAGAAATATATACAATGTGATATCGTCGTCGTTCCATACAGATTCACTTACCATGAGGATTAAGAGTATAACTTCGAATTAAACTTGATTTAAAAAAAAACTCCGTGTACAATTACAATATAAACGGCATGTTAATATATAAATTATACAAGCTGCCCCAATTCCTTTTTCCAATTTGAAAATTATTATTTTTAATTAAACATTGATACATATTGTTACAATAACAAAATCATAGGTTTAAGAATATTAAATGAATAAAGATTTACTATCAAGTAAAAAAGCGTATAATACTTACGTCTTGTCATTCTCGAAACTATGAGTCCTCCGCAGAATGGTGTCGTTGTCCATATTATTAGCTGGTTTGTTTTCACCTGAAAAATAATTAGAAAAATGAATTATAACATTACATAACATTGAGATATATTTATTATTTTAACCATAAGGTCAGCCGCATTGCCAGAAAATTATTTTTCAAAATACTGAACACTCATAAAAAATTAATATAACTTCTAAAGTAAAAACAATGTAAAATACACAACAAACGAGCTTCATTATACTACCAATGTAACTTTGCAATTTTTATCACATCGTTTTCAACTATGTCTGGATGTGTCTAAAAATATGTGCTTAAAGAGGATTATGTTATTTTATTATGTGCCAGCTGCTGCCCGTGACGTAGAATAGGCTGAAGGCGTAACATACAGACAGAAAGACAGACATACAAATACGTATATAAATTATAGTCTATGTCTTATTCTGATGTATAAGCTATCCATTCAATAGTATTTGCGTGAAAGAGTAACATACATCCATCCATACATACTACAAACTTTCGCGTTTATAATATTAGTAAGGAAGTAAAATGGTAAACCGATTTGTGTTGGATGTTAATAGGCAACTACAATAACCGTGCAAAAGGACATGATTAAAATTTCCAACTTTTGTTCCAACGAATGTTGCATGTGGTTGATATGTATGTACAACATTTTAATATAGGATTAAAGTAAGAGTCTATACTGTCCTCCTAAGGTACGCTACCGAAGATATGAGGGCATAGCCAAGCACGCGATCATTTATATATTTACGAAATATCTTTCTCATTATTTCGAAAATATCTAATTTACCTCAGGTATTTACATTCTGATGTTGATACTTTTAACGTTGAACAATATAACATAGTATAAATCTAATGATTCTGCATGCGGTCAATTGAAGCTTCGCCCGATCATATTAGTACGGATGAGCGGCGTAGGTTTTTCTGGCGTCGATAAAACGTCATCGATATGACATCGGCAACGACAGCGCAACGGCGGTGACTACACGACAACAGTGGCAAAATTGACCGGCACTAGAAAGTATGTTGCCTGTGACATTGCTAGCCACTATTGCCCACGACGGCACGGCACCTTAGTCGGCGTTGCCAACGACGGCACGGCACCTAACGTGACGCTACCGACGACGGCACGGCACCTAAGGCGACGTTGCCAGCTCGCTACTTACGATTGGAGTCGGCCAGCTTGCGGAACGAGGCCGATCGGCGCCAGGACGGCGACTCGTCGGGGGCGGGCGGCGTGTCCGCACCGCCGGCCGCCTCGGGCGAGGACGCGCGCCCCTTCGGCGGCCTCCCGTCGGCCATCTTCGTTATGATCTCGGGAGCCGCCGGCGGCTTGTCTGCGTGACGGCGTCGCAATCGTGTTTCAATTGGGAGGACCGACGCCAATTACTCGTTAGCATCATCCGTCCGTCTTGTTATACCAATGGCAAACAAGATCGAAGCGAGGGTGCGATGTTAAAACAGAGCATGGCGCGCTCGGTGAAATTAAGTGGAGAGTAAGTGACGTAATGAAGTTAGTCGTCAGGACGAACGGATAGTGAGGGCGGACGCTTAAATGGAGCAAGCAAATGCACTTATTAACTGCCCGCGGCTAGAGACAAATGGTTTGTACGCTATATGTTATAGTAAAGACAAATGTCCCATCCATAAAGCTGTTATAAACATATGATAAATATTACCATTGACGATGTTGTCCGTCTGGCCGGTGATTTGCAGTTCGACGCGTTTGACGTCGTGGCGCGGCGGGCTGCGCTTGCGTTTGTTATTGTTGTTGTTATTGTTGTTATTGACGCGACGTGACGCCTTCAAGGAGGCCTCTGCTAACCACGTCGATATGCTCGGGTCCACTAGATCCATGCACGTCTGGCCCTTCAAAATAAATATACTTATTTTAATTCCAAATTAAATCATGCATTCATGGCAGCATAATCTTTTAAAACCCTAATTACCAAAATACATAGCAGTCCGGTGAATGAGACAACCGTAATTCGACTTATTTTAAAAATACACCAGAAATTTAATAATTTGGAACAATTTACGCTAATGGCACAAACACTAATATGAACGATTAACAATACTCGTATCTGTATTTTCAAAACATCAGACCCAAACTATTTATTAGACCCGAGCATCTACGTTTATCAAACCGAGTTTATCGACCTTAACCGTTTATCGACCCGAGTATCAAATATAGCAACTAGGTTTACGTGGATCGAATGCTCAAAACGAAACATGAAAGAATAATCCGAGCAAGCAATGGGGCGGTGCACTTACCGAGTAATTCTTCAAGTTAGGGTCGGCTCCGTACTTCAAAAGGAGAGCGGCCGCGTCCTTCTGGCCCCATAGTGCGGCTGCATGCAGTGGTGTCCAACCTTCGTAGTCCACACAGTCCGGTTCAACGTTACACTCTTCTAGTAACATCTCCGCCACCTACAAATAACCATTTTATTTAGACAAGCGTTTCTAATGGTATATATTAAAGAAAGTTTATGAACATTTTAGTGATCCAGAGGTCAGTGTTATTAATAAATAGATATACCGATAAATATCGTATAGGCCTATTCTATTATGTCATTGATATTAAAAGGATTTTAAGATTTACCTACATGTCTCATTAATATAATTTGCTTAAATTTTAGACGAATAAGTGAATACAGAATTAAATAAGCAATATCAAACAATCATGTCAAATAAATAAATTAAATTTAAGTTGTAATATACATAATATAATTTTCTTCACTTGAGTGAAATCTCTACCTACGAAAAGAAATTAATATTCTATGAAGCTAGTCTAAGATGCTAGTTAATATACAACTCAAAGTCCTAACTACATTTTCACATTATTTAATATTATATCCCAATATGTTCTAACTGGGCATTATATAAAATATAATAATTAGTATAACTTTATATTTATATATAGTTATACTAATTTCATTATTATCATCAGTATAAGGAGGTTGTAAATAACTGAAGCACATTTTGAACCAGCCCATGCTACCATACAAAAATGTTATGTAAAAGACAAGATAAAAATGTCATATGTCCTAGTGTATGTTAAGATCTACACTTGTTACTGCATGGATGTGTGTAACGAAAAATACAAGTGGTTCAATCTGGCAAAAGACCTTAAAGCCGTTGCCAAGAAATCATCACAACAATATAAATAATAGAGACTTAATAGATGTTATTAATCTATCTTGCCATTTTAAACAGATTTATTTGACATTTCAAAATCAAAAACAATGGATGAAATACTTGATACTATAGGTTTAAACAATTCAACAATTAGTACTTAGTAATGTTTGTGTCTGTACTCGAGTTCTTAAACAATGGTAAGCATTTTACCTTTAATCGGGCATAACTATATAGGAACAATTGATTCAATTAAAGTCCAGAAAATAGGAAATTTGCTGTAGCGCAAACATAACCGGTAACTTAATAATAACTAATTTAATGATTAGTAGTTGAGCTGTGCGAAATTTTTGCACAAAACTGATCAGTCAACGAATGGTAATCTAAGTAATTTTATGTTATTTCACAGAATGACGTTTTGCAAATATTTATTTACTTCACTCATTTCTATAAATTAAATAAAATTGTATAAATTAAAAAAATTTTACAATTTCTCAATAGATGGCACAATCATACATACGAATGCTATACGAAACTTTCAAACTAAGGTTTTTCTTTTGTCAAAACGTTAACATTAAACTAACATTTGTCTATTTTTCGCCAAAATAGGGTTCGTATCGTTTAATTTTGATAAACAGTCATGGAAGTTATTGCCTACAAATGCGATGTTTCGCATCATCGTGCACAATATAAAATGTACGCATTTAAAATTGAAAACATATCTCATACAACATACGAAAAGATATCTCAAAAAAAATGAAAAATGGCCGTGAAAAAATGCAAGCGTCGTATGAGGAGAATTTGTGTGTCGAGTCTCACTTCGATGTAGCCCTTGGCGGCGGCAACGTGCAGTGGGGTGCCGCCCGTCTTCGGGTCCCGGACCTCGACGTAGCCGTTCACCGCCCAGTTCTTGGCGTCACTCATCAGCGCGTCCACCTCGGCGTTGCGGCATTTGTTGCAGTCCACACCTTGAAAATTGCAAAAAAGATGAGCGACCAACTAATTTTTAAGGCGTTTAATACTGTGGCAGGCAGGAAATACTGTGCAAACTCTGTGGAACCAGTTGCCGCCGGCGGTTTTTCCGAACCATTACGACCTGGGAACCTTCAAGAAGAGAGCATACTCTTTCCTAAAGGCCGGCAACGCATTTGTAAGCCCTCTGGTGTTGCAGGTGTCCATGGCCGGCGGTGACCACTTACCATCAGGTGAGCCTCCAGCTCGTTTGCCGCTTTTTGCCCATTAAAAAAAATTTCTTGTTTATTTCTTTCTCCTGCCCTCATCCCACCTTTTTGGGTTCGGTTACCGATAAAGTTCATATCGGTGAAATTTACCTCGGTTTACGGTAAGCTCTTGAATAATATAAAAAAAACCTATCAACTCAGTATCTGTCCCTCTATTTTATAACATTTTTTTTAATCGATGTTCATTACATAAGTGTTTTCAAAACTATTCTGCATACAATATTATCAAAAACAGTTTGTTTCGTTTATTCGACGTGACCCGGTACCTTTCTCTTCGATAGCCTTCTGGAGCAGTTCCTCCATAGCGTCGTGGCTTTCAGCAATGTCCACGGGCAGCTCCCCATCGTAGTTGACTGCCGCAACGTCCGCGCCATTTTCTAAAAGGTACCTGAAAAAGTGACATTCGAAATAAATTGCAGTGCCGTCAAGGTAATTCATTCAAATTGAATATCGAGCACGTGTACAATTCGCGACAATACAAGAGCTCCTCTTAGTCCTAGGGAACTGTTACCAAACGTAGAAGCAGTACACCTAGTAGCATGTGATCATAGCTACGCAAGAATAACTACAACAGCAGTAACTTTGCAGGTATGGTGCCAACTTCTGAGGAAGGGAATCCCCCGGGTACTCACTCACCAGACGAAAAGCAAAATATGAATATTTTATGCGACTCTCCTGTGAGGCCATGGCACAATTATTTGGTCGACGGCCCATTCCTGCCAAAAGCAGAAGTTGCTGGACGTCTATACCACAGCGAAAGAATTTTATCGTGAATTTGAAAAAGATAAATAATGTTTACTAACAGTTTATTATAGTTTTTATGTTGCACTACCCTACGCGTGTTAACACTGACATAATAAATCGATGTTACTTTTTGATACTTATAGCATTCAAAAATAAGCAGAACAATTGCAGGAAATTGTGTCCATGATAATTAATAAGTTTTGTAAGCATTTGAACGCCATGATAGGGAAGTGTAACTACGATATGCTTTTATTATCAAATTAGAATCCCAAATATCAAACCACGCTGTAGCATTGGACGCCGAGTCAAGTAGTGGAATGGCAACTGTAATTGAGATAATTAAGGAGCAATTAAGCCCCCTAAAATGTTTGACATTCGTAGGCTTACACAGCGGCTGGTATCGGAGAACATTAGTCAAGATTAGACTGGTTGGTGAATTATTAACGTCACCTTCTTGCTGTGAACGTTTAAATTCACTATAAAAATTAGTTTACTTCCCATTGTATAGTTTACTTCGACAATGTTATACACATAATAGCAACATACCGATAACTAGACCTAATATCTAATATATAAAATTCTCGTGTCACAGTTTTCGTTGCCATACTCCTCCGAAACGGTTTGACCGATTTTGATGAAATTTTTTGTGCTTATCCGGTATCTATGAAAATCGGCCAACATCTATTTTTCATCCCCCTAAATGTTAGGGGTAGTCCACCCCTAATTTATTTTTTTATTTTTAGACAAAATTTTTAATTTCTATTTTTTTATGATACAACATACAAAAATACATACAATCCTCAATTTTCACCCCTCTACGCAGACGTAGTCGCGGGCAGCAGCTAGTAGTTTTTATAAAAAAGCATAACACTGCAATCTTTATATATATAATTTTTCTGTGCGTTTGCATGTCACTGACCTCCTTCTAAATGGATGGACCGATTTTAATGAATTTTATTGTGTCTTCAGGTCGATTCGAGAAAGGTTTAGATTCACATTTTTTTTTAATTTTTTTATTTACAAGTACAAGACACCGTCTGCCGGGTAGTACACAACGTCACTAGTATTCTATAAAACGTATGATTTCGGATGCTTAATCTAAGCACAACAGAGAGTTGGTTGTTCCGTTTCACAATTGCTAATCAGCGTGAACAGTATTGTATCGAGCGCGACAGGGAAACGTTTGACATGTGCAATGTAGGACACGATATCGTCGCTCTATGAACAATTAATAAGGCACAACGAAGCAGATTCAACGGCAGGAACTCCCCAGTACGTATCGGCTCATAATTGAGTCAGATTGTGTTTACATTCGTCACTAATACCCGCTCGATGTCATGTTCAATGAGCACCGTTCAAATACAACGTACGTTATACGCATTCAAGAGTTTGAATTTGAGTTTGCCTTTTATAGAATTTGCAAAAGATTTTGACCACGGGATATTAATCACATTATATCCAAAGTAAATAGAAAGTACTAGTACATATTACACTAGTCAGTAACATACGAACAATATGTTGCAATGCCAAAAACAATGACATTAGTTCTAAAATAATACTTAAATACTTCGAAGCAGCCATAAATTTAAGTTAAACTATGTTTAGTAATTTTGGTTCTATAACTATGCACGATTTTATAATAATAAATCGATTTGTGCATTTATATTAGGAGAATATTTTATAAAATTATACAAGATTTTTATTCTTCGTCATGACGTCAACGGAGCGATAGACTATGTTGAGTTCAAACAAATAAACTTCATTGAGATGTGCTAGTAACTTCACATTTAGCTCACCCCAAAAATGTTAAGCAGTTCAACGGTCAGTGTATAATAAAATCAAAAAATGTAAATCAAATGTCTTTATTCAACATAGGAGTATTACACACGCTTATTAATAGTCAAAAAACCGGTTCGGAAAAGAAGCAACTGTACTGAGAAGAATCGGCGAAAGAAACTCAGCGGGCTTTTTTCTTAAATTTTTTTTCTAAAGAAACAGTTAGACATTAATTCATTGCAAATACAATATAAGAACTCTGATTGAAAGAGCCTGGAGCGATCCATTCATTACCAGTGTGTGTTATCATTTAAATAATCAATAATATTATAATAGCCTTTAACACACAAACGATCGTTTACTATTTTTTTTATTTAGCTATTGATGTATTTTGAACGTTTTCTGGAATTTTGTTATACAAACGTATACATAGTCCCATAAAAGATTTACTTATTTTACGCAGTCTACCTGTGGGTAGGATCAATTAATGATTGTTCCTAGTATTTATATCATGAACATTGTTATGTCTTGAAAATTTATCTTTATGTTTATGGACATACATAACCTTTTCAAAAATGTATTGAGAAGCAAGAGTTTCTCATAAATATCTAATATTAATACAAATAAAATATCTAACCTTTATCACTTTAAACAAGTTTCTTTCTAAAGCGACACTGCTGCATTCTCAGTACAACCTGCATAAACACCTCAAATACAATAGGCTGTTATAGGAATACGAATACGATATACCCTTAAGCTATAAAACTCTAAAGCAATGTTTTCAATTTTTACACAATTTAACCCTAAGAATCGGTGATACATTTGAAAAGTTATAACAATCGATAATAAAGAATGGAAGTTGCCAAGCAAATTTCCGAGAATCGCCCTTGAAATTCATAAGAATTTCATCTGTAACGCGGCAAAAGTCAATATAGTTATTTGAAAAGAATTTTTTGCTCTTTCACATACGAATTTCGAGTTTTTAATGTCACAACTAATAACCAATATCACATACCAATAATCAGTTTACCGTTCATACACAAACAAGATTGTTATTGGGAACCGAACAATATATTCAGGGAACAATATACAATAATCTGAGGTGTGCATAGATCAGCTATTAATTCATCTATATACATAAAAATCTATATGTGCACTTGAGGACACAAAAGGGCTGTTTTTGATGACAATTTCAGGCAATCTTTTGATTAGCCCAAATCAAGTTAGTGACCAAATGAAGTTTGGCAGCGATCGCATTAACACACAATATTTTTTTGATAATTAGTAATTATTTGATCGTTATCTGAATATTTAATAGGAAATAGCAATGTATCTATCGTATGTAGCTAAATGCCAGTATGATAATAGCCAATGTATTTAGCTCTGGTGTTTACTTTACTATCCCACGTGGAGTGGTTAGCGGTAAACGTTTTTGTATTGTTTGTTATGTTTTTGTTGATTTCACACACAATAAGGAGATATTGTTTAAACCAATACTTCAACAGAAACCTTACTCACGCTATAAAGTTTGACATTCAGTATAAATTAGATGCGATCGCAATTTCAACAAAGCATTCAAATCATATACAGATTTCGCGCAGCAGAAATAAGTATTCGCTCAACTATTTCACATTCATGAATATTCAAAATTTCGCATGTGCCAAACAAAAATAACATTATCAGAAAAGACAGAATGTAACCTATAACGGGTACACTGTGCAGTAATATGGAACCGACGTAAATTCAGTGGTGCATGACCGTAAAGTGACACTTACTAGTTTGGAATTAATCTTTTACTAATGTGGAATCACGTGCGCATTAAAATAATTTAGCTTTATTTTGATTGTTGGTATTCATTAGTTATATGAAATAAAGCAATCAAAAACATGTCTAAAAATCTTTAAAAGTTGTTTTGTTTCCAGTCTGTTACTAAACAAAGCAGTCGCCGTTTAATGGCTTCAGCTGCTCGCATATCTTACATATGTATGCACAAAGGCATTTATAACCAGAGATAAAATAAATTTAGTGCGATGAGAATAGACCTATCGTCAAATTTTACTAGACATACGGCCTGCCAATAAATTTACGTTCGGTTAGTCAAAAGTTTCCGAGCAAAAAAAGTCGATTTTTTTTTTGTTTATGAAATATGCAAATTATCTAGAACACAGTGGCAGAATCACGCAGTAACTTCTGTTGTTTCACGAATGGGAATTATCGTCCGGGGAGGAAGCACGGCCTCACTGAAAATTAGCGTGAAGTAGCAAGTACTATACTTTCATCTGGTGTGTAGAGTTCTGACCGCGGCTCACTTTTTAATGGTACTCAACGCATCTTTTAGCCCTCAGGTCCATGGGTGGCGGTTTACCATAAACATGATGTGAGTCGACTGCTCGCATTACAACTTTACACATAAAAATAAAAAAAAAACAACTCCAGTATTCACTGAACAAATATACTCTCCATCACAGTCTACCATCATTATCACAGCCGCCGGATATGAACATCGTACTTTGTACATGACAATTGATTGAGCTCACACAATTATCGCAATGTATTATAAATTAATTTTTTGCAATCAAAATGATATACAATAAGAAAAAGGAGGGAAAAAATAAAACTATTAATTAGAAATATAATTGTAATTAAGATACCGAGGTCGTAATTAAGGTAAGCAGAAGCCTGGTTTGTTTCTATTTGTATATTTGAAGAAAAGTAAAAAATTCAAGGCGTGTACAGCCTATGACGTACTTTAATATCAACGAAACTCGGTTGTCTCACACGTGACCTCGAAAACAGTTTCTCGCCCGGTTCTAAAATTACACGGCGCTTCTGTCATTCAGCAATACATCATTACCCCCACAAAATATGTGGGTCGGTCAATGACAGCATCAAAATTGGGATTGAGGCAATGATGTTTAGGCGGACAATAAATGGGGCGTGCGTGCGCATTTTGCCGGCCTGTCAGTTACTGCGTCTCGGCGTTGAAAAGTGGTAACGAGGAAAAATTAAACATCGTACATCGGAGCATGTCGGTCTAACAGCATCGTTACTGTTTCGGAGAATCGAAATAAAGCTATAGGTATATGTATTCTAGAGATTATTGTCCTTCGATTGATATCATTGATTTTGACTGCAAGGCATAATTGCGTTGTAGGCAAACGCGATGCGATTCGAGCCGTTATTAATTGTTTATTAGCAAAGACACGTTAATGAACAGAAAACGTACGGAATCATAGGCTCGAGAAGTCATCGACCCAATTTCCTAGACTATCTAATGAGATAAATACCGTGCACTATAAATAATACTATAAAACAACTCGTGGCGTACGGTGAAGACAAAACGCATCCGCGATTAAACGCTGCCAAAATAATAATTCAAATAGTGATAGCAAAAGCGCGCGACCTTTTACTTTGCTAATAAATACCAATATTATTTAGTGAAACAATTTGTATGTCGCGCCGAGGGAAAGCATTTTTAATTGTAGGTAAAGCAAGACATCGTGAGTGTATGTGGATTTACGTAAAATAAAAAAACGAGTTAATGAAATTATGTGGGTTATAATATTATGGTAGTGTCGTACCAACTCTGTCACAAGTCTTCAATCACGAAAGATCATAAAAGTATCAGTTCAACAAGAATTTAATACAATAGATAGAAAAAAACTGAAAGTTGAGGAAACTATGTGGGAACAAATTCCCGGTCAACGCTATATACGCCTTTAGAAACGGCTATAATACGATGCAAATCCCTTTTAAAGCCAAAGGTTATTAAGGAACATTAGAGGGCAGGCTCAGTTATATTATTAACGCTGTTAAGATAGCTGACGTAATCGTGACATCGCCGTTAATAAAATAGTCGGTGATAGTTTCTTATTTTTTTAGAATTTTTTTTAATTTTCAACTGATATTTTATTATAGCACTTAACTTTGATTTCTCAAAACTTGCTTACTGTTTCTCAAGACGAACCCATTTTCTAATTAGACCACAAGGCTACCTAAATGCGAAAAACCAGCGGCTCAATAATAAAAAATATAGGAATCCATAAAAATCGCCAGCAAAGCAACGATAGACGGGTTTATATCACGAACGTCTTCTGTCAGATCAAAAATTTAGGCCACCTCCAACCATCGGATCGTAAACAGAAGAAAGTTATAAACATTAATAAATCCGCAGATTTATTATAAACCAAGATGTCAATTTAAAAATACTTTTATTCGGCTATTTAAATGTGCCTTTTATCAAAGTTAATTTTATTTTTTTAATGCTTTTAGACTGATATTTTGTGAAATCAATTATTGTTATGAAATGTGTTTCCTAATATACTTACTTTTTTTACAACAATAACATCAACTTAAAAACTCACCCCGTCATGTACATAAAAAAATGTAAGAACAGTATTCACCTGTTTTATAAATTATGTCTCTACTAGCAGATTATAGCGTTACGAGGGCGCCGGAAAATTACGAACTGATATATTTAATAGCATAGCCAATTTGCAAATGAACATGATCCGGCACTATATAATATAATATAATATAGCTAGTTATGCCTAATCGAATGATTTTTTATTACATACTGTATTTTATTTTTCAACTTTTTTGAAATGACCCACGTATAAGGTTAAAGCAAAGCACAGATAACAAATTTTAAAACTTATAAATTAATTCTATTAAATTTATATTGTTTTTATTAAACCTCGATATTATTATGTACAGTTTTGTGGTTATTACGACGTAATCCTGTATAACAAAGTATACAGTTCTTAGTGATATTAATTACCTGAGGTCATCCTCATGTGTATCATGTTAACAAATATATTTTTCTTCCCCGACCATGCACGTTTAATAAAGGTTATTATTTACTGGATCATTCGCTGGAATAAAGAAGCGGAAACGGAAATTTGAATTAACTCATAATACAGTTCTTTGAACTGTTCACGAAATGAAAAAAAAAAAAACAAATGCAGATTAAAGTAAAAAATGGTAGGATATTAACAACTTTAAAAATGCATAAAAGTTTTCTTTTAATAATCTGTTAAATGTGTAAAAAAACATATAAATGTAACGAAACTTAATCATTTTCGAATGAATATTATTTATTTTCTAAAATCTGAAAATATTACGCGCTTCCTTAATTGTACAAAATGGTAATGGTAAGTAGTATAATGTTACGATTCAAATGTAAAGTTATCATTAGACTGTAATTCGCGTTTGGCTTCCGACATATGATGAAATAGTTCGAATTTGCTGGACCGAAATATCCAGACAGACGATGGGCAGCGGTCGTCCGACACATATGGCTACTACGATACTATGTTCGCATTCGGTCTGAAAATATGACGAATGCTACGTTTCTTTTTAAGTGTTTAGGTCGGAATACTTTTAAAAATAAAAGTGAAACGTTGGACAAGTGATTAAAGCGTTCATGTTTTAGCTGTGTAGCCATTGGCTCGGGTAGAAGCGTCAGCTATCATCGAAATCTTAACGAATATATAATCGAAAGCAATTTATAGGCCGTCTGTCGGCGGATTACGGGCGTATTCGTGCGCAGTGGCTTCGGGTGCGGGCCGGCACGGTATCGTGTTCCAATGCGTCATCGCAGTCCGTGATGCAATCGCTCTGGACGTAAATTGGATAAGAACGAGCAGCATACGGACGCACGCAACGCCGAAGATTCGGCAGCCACCGCTGGTCTATTTCAGTGGGCACAATTCGATATGGCCTTAACGAGAACGCCGTTTCTCGTGGCAACCTTGCTTGCTTTAGGAAGCATTCGGTTCCAAAACCAAGTAAATTTATAAAAATTATTTACCTACTTACTTTCAACAAGACTATTAATTGAGAAAGTTTTGTCTGAAACCAGTTTCGAAACTGACTGATTTTATAATAGTCATTGTAAAAATTCCCGCTACTCGTCGGTTTTAATAAATACTTGGAAACAAGCGGTCCTAACAATATCTGTTCCAAGTCTACAATCGTGTTTATAGATCCTGCTGTGCTCTAATGTCAATATTATCTTTGGAAACTAACTGAACAGTTCGTTGCAGTATTTTCGAGAAAACGTTAAATACTCATTGAAATGGAATTGTATCCCAGGGTGACCTAGCACGACTAACATGTATAGAATTACGTTACCATTCCGCAATTTATAATATACAATAAAGATTACACAATAAAGGTATTAAAAATGTGATGATTACAAATAACCTAAGAACCAAAGAAAACTTCGACATAATATATATCCTCTTGGCTTCATAGTATTTTAACGTCACGTTGATTTGGCATCTGCACAAGCGATACGACAAGATACGCGCTTAGTAAATACCATAAGAATTAATATTTAACCATAACTATTGGCCTTATGTCTCTTGCAACGTCACACTGCCAAGAAGAGTGAAATTCCTTTCTAATTATTTGTATTTAAATGTTTATAACTCCTTAATAATTACTTTCACTAATCATTGCAATATTATAATTTTTTTTTAATACTGACAACAAAAATACCAAAATTTTTGTTATTTTTTTTAATTTGACCAAATTAAGTACTCCTTTAAATTAAATAACACTACACATTATTTTAATGATACTATTTTAACCAGATTTATTATAAAACATGTTATTCTGCAAAAAAATTACAGAAGAAGCCAAACTCTCAAACATGATAGAAAATGTAAAAAATATATATTTAATTGCCTTTTTCCTAATGAAACTATTTTTTACGAATTGATAGCGCTTATTTTTTATTTTAATTTCCGACGCTTCGAACTTCACCGTCCATGGTCACGGGATAGACTTCTTCTTTAAATACCGTACGTACTACTCGGGTCATTGTTATAGTTTTTACCGACAATAGCAAAGCTATGACTTTAGTCCAGTTTAAGAAGACCTACAAATGAATATAAGCTCTTTACAAATTCTCTGGATAGGGACAACGCACCGGCTACTCCAGAGAATACGGTCCAGTCATATTTAATTATCTTTATTATGGATCATTAATATTTCCTGCGCTCGGTGACAGATCAAGTCTGCAAGAGATTACGTCTACAAGGCAACGAAGGCCGCATAGCCCTTTAACCTTTTGTAATTTAGGGCGATTTGTATACCAGGTGGTGGTTTAAATCATTTATTCCGATATATTTATCACTCATCATTAACAGTGGGCAGGCCTGTAGGATTTGCTCAAAAAATCGTCAGTACTTTAATTTTACCTAAATTTGACATTTTTACAGAGTTCCTAATTCGACGAAAATTTTAATCTTGTTAATAATTTCGTCAAAATTATGTACTAAGGAACAAAATTCACGAATCGTCGTCATATAAAAGAAAATTGTCTTATTTTTGCAATTATCTTGTAAAAATGTAAAATCCAAAAAAAATTTTTCATCACTTGAGTATTTAAAGTAAGCTGTATCATTTCGTTCGAAAACCAAGGTTCAGATATTGATGACTCTGCGGCGCAGTTGCCAAGGTATTGGCTTCGGCCTCAGGGGCCGTGCGTTCGATTCACACACGGAACAACTATTTGTGTGACCCACAGATACTGCGTGAAATTTATATTTGCAAAACGTCATTACAACACAGGATAATATTATCCTAAAGTAATGGCAATATTAAAAAAAAAAAGATATTGTAACTTTGTAGGTACAAAGTACATTTCGACGTTATAGACAGACAGAATTCTATGGAATTATATTACGCGCAAGACATAAAATCTTGTTACCATACAAAATCATGTTAAAATAATTAGCGTGCTCGGCGAAGATAAACATCAATGGCGTCTTATCGCCTCTACTATTTCGTTAGTTTCCGTTTCGGATAGTGCCGTAGACAGTGTTCGATTCTAATTTTGTACTAGTGACGTTTAGTAGTCGACCGAAACAATCGAAAGTTATTCAGAGTGCTGGGCCCACTGCACGTGACACGCGATGCCGCATTCTCGTCCAAATTATACGCGGAATAAACCGGTTTAATACAGTTAATTATATTAGTACTGTGTTATTATTTTTATCATTTAAAAGAAATAAAAAAAATAAAGCAGAGCCAATTACTAACTATACTTTAACTCTTTATTTATTTAATGCTATCGACCCTCCCCGGCTTCACACGGGTGCAATGTATTACATATGAACGGAAGGTTCTTGGGTCACTCTATCCAGTAAAAAAAAACCACATCAAGATCCGTTGTGTAGTATTAAAGATCTAAGCATGCATAGGGACAGACAGACAGCGGGACGACTTTGTTTTATACTATTTAGTGATGCAGAGCAGAGACGCTTACATTTCAAGTGACATTTTAACATAGTCACTTACTTGTTTTGACTTCCCGGAACCTCTCCACTAACACTTATGGTATGGTATTAAAGTTCAAATTGACTTTTAAGTATCATGACGAATCTTTTGTACGGGAATATAGAAAAGTGTTGTTTTTAGACTTTTTCAGGCAATTTTGTAAATTTTTTCTTTCATTAAAACCTTCTCCTGATAATAACAAATACAACAAAAAAAATGAAATCAGTCCAGCCGTTCACTCGCGATGGCGTGACCAAGGGAAATAGGGATTCATTTTTATAAAAATAAAAAAGGGAAATAGGGATATATTTTTATATATACAGGATGGCTTTTCTAAGTGTATCCATTTTTTTTATCGAATTCTAGACATAAATAATGTTGTATAAAAATGATAAATATTTAAAATCACTCGTAAGTAATTGATCACGCACTTTTTGAGATAAGTTCAAATAAATGTACATTTGAACTTATCTCAAAAAGTGCGTGATTTATACGCAACTCATTCATTTTACGCGCGATCATTTATAACACAAGTTCGTGCACAGTAAAATTTAGGTATTTATGAATGACTACCGCATTGGCAACACGTTCTGTTTTTTAGGGAATAGAATGGCATTTTTTTTTTTGGAAATTCCATTATACTACCGAGTCTGAACCTCCTGTGTAAATTTGGGCACTTCTCAAAAAATCTCCTGTATCGATAGCCTTTTTTATTTGGTTATTGCCTCTTTATATATATGAAAACACTTTATTGTTTTTTTTATAAATCATAGTTTATAATATTAATACTGACACTCTTACAAACATCATCAGACAAAATTCTCATTTGTAAATTTTTAATACTGAACTTAGTAGAAGTAAGATTACAATTAAAATAACTAAAAACTAACTAATGTATATAACCGAGTCACTGCAATATAAATAAAACCATTTAACTGGCTAGAATTGTATTTACCCACTTATGGTCTTAGTTGCTTCCATTAACATTAATTGTATAGATTTTGAAAAAAATTCAAACTATTCACATTTCCATGTAAAGATAATATACCATGTAAAGATGTAATCAAAATAAAATAATTATGACTGTATATGAATACAAATACTATAAAAATGCCATCAAATAGAAAAACGACAAACAAAATTTTGTAAAAGAAATACTGTATTTCACTAAATTTATTTTTATTTAGCAGCATTTTCATTTACTATTAAGGTATGTTCCATACAATATTTTTTTAATAATTTATATTGCTAATAAAAGGCGCACTTAACTTATTACATCTGATGCCAATTCATTAAGTTATAATCCCCAGTTACTGCCATTGTAGAATATAGTTCATCAAAGTTCTAAGGTCAGAAACGTACAGAGATGTACACAAAATATGAATGAGATATTGCAAGATTATAATAAATGATAAATACTCAATTCTTTGTTAACGAAATTGATAAAAAATAAAAAATCAAAAAACATAAAATCTACTTCATCTGCTAGCAGGAAACTTGATATTAACAAAGATGAGATTTTCCTTTCCAAAGGTATCTTAAAATATGAATGTACATTGTTTTTATCTATTTTATGCATTGTTACTTATATTTTGTGTAAAAACACAGATACAATCATTGATATTTTTACTCTCAAATATCATACTACTAAGGAATTATGAAATCTTTTTACTTTCTTATGGGGTTTATACTTCTTACCATACTCGCATGAACCAGATATTAAGTGATTTTCCAATCTCAAGTTGGTGGTAGTTCAAGAATTGGTGGATTCCCTTGATCAGGAGCTAACAAATTATTAGCTCATACAAATATGTGAGCATTGCAGAGTTGAGTATTTAGTCCCCTTTCAGTAAAAAAAAAAAAATTATGCTTGGAAACTTAAAAAAAGCGCTCAGTTTTTTACAGAGGAGATACAGAGTAAAAAAATTATTAAAATGCTATGAGGAAATGATGCATGAGAAAAAAATATTTTTGTTAAATTTCCCTCTATATCAAAATAACTTCACTTTGCTATTTTATATTTGTATAATGTAATATTTCATAAACATTTTTATCTAAATAGTTATTTTCTAGACACCGACCACAACTAAAAATAATTTAGATGTATTCATGCATAAAATTATACCCTGACTTACTCAAATTATATATTTCATTGCATTTGGTTGGCAATAATTAAGAAAGAGAAATTTATATAATAAGATGAAACTAAAACTCAATCATGACTAATAAATAATGTGTTCTAACATTAGAATATTAAAAGTTGTTTAGTTGAACTTTTCAAAACTCTGATTATAATCTTTCAAATATGGCTAAAATATTTTATCATCCATTCAATAATTGTATAATTAACAAACAAGGCCAATAACTGAACAGGAAATATATTCCAATTAATTCAACAATTTTTTTAATAATGTACTTTTAAAAATTAGATATAAAATGCGCTATTAAAAACTAATTTTATGAAAATATCAAATTTATAATATGAATATTTAAACACTTTAAACTTATTAAAGTACGTTTAAATCGCGAGATTAATTTTGCATTTGAAAAATATTCTTAATATCATAAATTATTACTCCAAAAAAATAACCATAATAGGGCAACATCATTCATATAATTTTTACAGATGTTTTAACAAAATGTGAATGTTATGTGAGTTTTATTTTATTTATTTTAAAACCAAATGTGGACTCAGAATAATAATTAGATTGAATTTATTACTAACCTATGATGTCATGTAAATTGTTTAATATAAAGACAAATACTAACTGGCATCCACAAAACATTTGTCCTCACCTGATGTAGAGCTGTAAGGCCATCTACGTTTGCTGTGTTGATATCAGCGCCCATTTTCAACAGACGCTGGACTTCGTCCTTGTCTCCGGCCGTGCATGCTGCCAAGAACACGATACCCGAAGAAAATTGTATCCTTGAAGCGCGTTTTGGCGTCGGTGATTGTTTGTTGGTGTCCGATTCCTCCCATCTTTTTAACTGCTCGGCTCTCTTGAATAGCGCTGATGACGATCTCGGATCCATCATTTGTACGAATTGGCAAAGCACTTAACTCTCAATATGGTTCCTCAAGCACTTTTTACGGTGCATAGATTATGTTTTTATTACATATAGTACACAAACGCCGAGTCCATAACTTAATTGCCAAAAAAGGAAACATGAAAGAAGAAACGTTCCAGGGAGATTGGTACTAAAACAACTTTCATGCAATCATTGTGCGAAACACTTGTTGAGTTAATCGAAAAACACACCCATACACTGAAAATTTCAACATGACATAACCAATGAGCTACAGATTTAGCGTGGCAGCCATTACAAGAATAAATTTTATGGCCAACTACTTACAAAACGTAAAAAGTAAAACTAGGCTGAGAATGACGGGAAGAAGAAAACAGCTAGCGACGCCTAGCGGATAATTTACCAAGGATTGGTGTTGGCATATTCAAACACCTCTATGGTTACTGTATTGAACGTAGGAAACATACTTATAAAGAACAGATAAAATATGTGTAACACAAAAAAAACTTTACTTAGCAAATAAAAGGTAGCTTCATGCATTTAGCTAATAGCATTCATGGATATAAATTGCCTCAAAGCGTATTTACGTCCCTTGTTCGTAGTTATTTGACTTTATTAGTCTTCTATTAATTAAAATCGCTTAATTAGTACACTTAAAAGTGGAAAGAGATCTGATTTTAGAAACTGATAGATCGGTTTTTGTCAAATAATGTACTACTTACAAAAAACCTAAATTAAAATTAAATTATGAAATAAAATAAAGTATGATATTTTTACGTTAAAAACATGATGCTTTTGTGATGCTTGTATAAGGGTTAAAAAATATTACACAGATGAATTAAAAAAATAAATAAAGGGAGTATTGCTATACTTATTCAAAATATACGCAATGCATAAACGCTGTTTTAAATGAAACGTATTGCTGTTATCAAAATTAAGATCATATTTTTAGGGCTATAGGCAGTCAACATATAAATTTTATAGGTACTTATACCGTACAATACATGTGCAGGATATAATGATTAAATTGAATCATACAAATAATTGTCATGTACATCCAATATATTTAATTAGGTCATCGAAGAAACGAATACACAAACATGAAAAAGCACATATTTTGAGTAAGTGTTTAATCTGTAAAATTAACAAATCAGCTGTCAAATGGTTTTTCTAATGTCATTTGAGTTGCCACAAGGATGATTCAACTCTTTGAATTGATCATTTTGATCATTATGAAGATCATTCTGGTCGGTTCTTGCATCCTAAATTAAATGCATAGATAAGATATTTAGAATCCATATATGGAAATTTTCGTTAAATATTTATCAATGCATATTTATGAGTACTGTTATCCTTTTAATACATATGACAGTTTTAAAATTATATCTCAAAAAATTAAAAAACAAAGAAATTTTATTTTATAAACCTCATTTACTTTGTAATAGGAAACAAACTTTTGAAAAAGTATTGCGACATCTGGTGACTAAGTACGATATCGTTAGTACAGTGTTGGAGTGAGGCAGAAATTATTCGAAATTCAAGATGGCCATGTGTCACGATGGTGTCCTGGACTGTTGTCGTTAACTTTATTTGTTTTGTGTGAAAATAGTGTTATTTCGCCATGGCTGACTTAAGTGTTGATGTATCAAAGTTGCCGGACGAGATCAGAGATAAATTAGCTGAGTTAGACTTGGAGTTATCTGAAGGTAAGACAAGTGGTGCAAGTCTCATATTCTCTAAGACTCTAAGATCGATATTTGTTAATTTTGATTATTTTGCAAAACTTGTTTCGCTTACACAAATAATGTTGGGATTTTTTTAACTTGTTGAAAAACCAATTAGATTTAATAACTTTGTAAAGTCTACGCTATTATTGACGTAATATTTGCCAGCTGACCAAGTGTTTTCAATAAATAAATATTACTCGGAGTGATGCGAATTAGTTTTTCTTAATGTTCAGGTAATCACATGAGGCTCAGGAACCCACGCTCGACTTCTTACATGCTTTGTCACACATCGTCTGTCAAGGAATGCAGTGCTCTCGGCATGATGCGGTTTTAAACAATTAAAAATCAACTGCTAAAGCAACTTTGTGAAGCTAACTTTGTTCACTGCATTACTCGTATAGTTTACTCACGCAGTAGATGCCTATGTTATAGAATTTGCTTTTTTATTATTTCCAGATACTTACTTGGTATGTTAAAAGTAATTTTGTTTTATTACGCTTGTTTTATTATTGAATATGGTCTCAAAGTTTGCTATGCGCAAGGGATTATGACTCTTATTTTGTACAGTAATTCGATTATTTTTAATTTCTTTTTTAAGCTTTCTATTATTTAGTAACTACTATTAAATGAAACAAACAATTTTTTTATATACTTCAATTTAATATTATTTATATTCTATTAATTTTATAAAATATATCGAAGTACTCAATATGAAAAATATTTGTTTCTTTTTTCTAATTTATTCAAATTACCATCCACATAATGATAACGTAAAAGTGTTCTTTATGGATAATAATTTCGAAAGGTTTTATATCGATTGTTGAATTTTAAATCAACTAATAAATCTCATAAATAAATCAGACACAATAATCAAAAAACAATTGCTAAGTTTCAGATCCCAAACTACCTAAACTAGAGTATTTTCATCAGTTACGAAGTTTACTTTCAATATTCTCGTGTCTGTATAATGTTGTTTAAAGTAAATATTTAACTTTTTGTTTATTTATGTTAGTCATTAATTAAAGCATTGCATGCCAAGCGAAAATAATTATATCCTGTTTTTTTTTATAACCTCAGAAATTGTTTTGCCTATGCGAAAGCACGGTATACCCTGCTGGTTCCACAGTAAGTTCATTATGCAGTGGAGTCATCGTTCATTACAATCGCTTTTATTCGGTGAGATTGAATAGGTCGCAATAAGCGCGCTGCAAAATTGTTAAATTAAATAGGCTTCATTATGAGATTCCGTTATTTGTCTGAACATATTTTGAAATTTATTTTATTCATAAGATTCTGAATAACATGAATTTGTTTTAATTTTTTTTAAGGATGGGCAAAAGAAGGTTTTATGAGACGATGACTTAATTTCGTGCTCTCAAAAAAAAACATTGTACTAAAACAATTTTAAATGATTTTGAAAGATAAAAGAAGAATAATAATCACCCATGCCTATACACTAATGTCTAATATGGTTGTATATTATATTATCAATAAGTAATATATATGTTTATGAAGACGATTTAAACAAACATTAAATGATAACTGGGAAAAATATCGGAGCATATTCCGCTAACGCATCTTTTAAACTCTGCGTTCCTTCATAACTCGTTGGGCCGTGATGAAAAATGCTTGTTCTAACGTGACAATTCAATCCGAGCAAAATTGGCGAACTTAATTAAGAACAATATCCAACCCTTTAGGAGCCAATCATTAACAGTTTTTAGCATCACCATGCTCCGCCAAGCTACAGTCGGATACCATCCCAGTCAGATAATAGTTACCGATCGGGCCGAGGTCCGGCCCTCTCGGGCACCCTTGAATCGGAATGCTAAACGCGTGTTGAGTGACAGCCAAAGCCGAGGTCCCCTCTCGGGGACCCTTGAGTCTGATCGCTCCATGGAGCGCCCGTCAAAGCGCCCTAAGAGCTTGGCGGCCTCCCAAACCGGTGATAATAATAGCGTGACGGCCCGAGCCGAGGCTCCCTCGGGATCCCTCGGACTTAGACACCATAACGCGTAATAATAATACGCCAAGGTTCTGATCTGTAAAGGCCCCTAAGGCCAGCAGTGGCTCATCCAGCCAAAAAAAAAATCGGATTCCACTTATAGTCTTCCAACCAATGTACTTGTCGTGGGATTAGGCTCTGTCATAAATACAATGAGCAAACCGAACGACCATTGTCAGCCTCCGACTTGAGGCTGTAATTGTGTTATTAACACCATAAATCACAGCTACGGCTGCCTACCTGGAGGTGGTTACATGAAGAGTAAGGTTCTGCTGTGGCTGAACCTGTATTTCTGTCCAGTCTATACCATGTTGGAGGTGCCCGAGCCTGGGAAGGGAAGCCTTGTCAGACAGGGATTTTAGCGATATATCAAAAATGTCGGGGATTTTAGCGATCACCAGTGTAGGCCTCTACTGAGCGTCGGGGACGTCAGCATCACTTGTGCTTGTACGACCATACTGAATATAAATAAACTACTTATCAATCATTCTAATCAACGAAGCTCCTATAATATTTATCAATATTCTTTGTTATTTTTTCCGTAGTAGATTTTATGCGCATAAAATAAAGATCAATACACGAAATTTACTTTTTTCCATCTTTGCGAAAATGTGTTCAATTATTTAATGGCAGTAAAAAAAATTATAAGGCGGTACTGGCTGAAAATTTAATATGGTCCTTCAGAAGAGTTCTGAACAAGGAGATTTGAAGCAATTTGCATATAAGTCGTGAGATAGACACAGCTACCTTAAGCATAATAATCACGGGCTGCTACTGTTTGTCTGTGGTACAGAGAACAACTTTATAGGAAATATATATTATGATGTCTTCGTTCAAAGCGGACCTGTAAGGGTGGGAATTTGTGACGAAATGTCAGAAGCCTTAAATTATCGCAATTAATCCCAATTACACCTTAATTAATCCCAATCTTACATAAATCCAAAAACATTTAAGTCAGTACCTCAAACTGGCGGGAGCACTGGAATATATTATTCGGATGTCTATAGCGAGGACGGGTGCAACAGAAGGACGCTACGCAGTGGGGCTTTTCTAAGTGTATCCATTTTTTTTATTAGATTCTAGACATAAATAATACAGTTAGTTCGTTCGTTAATACAGTTCGTACCATAAATAATAAGTTATACAAAAGTGATAAATATTTAAAATCACTCGTAAGTAATTAATTACATTCATTTGAACTTATCTCAAAAAGTGCGTGATTTATACGCAACTCACTTATTTTACGCGCGACCATTCGTAACTAACACGCACACAACTTCGTGCACAGTAAAATTTAGGTACCTATTTATGAATGACTACCGCATTTGTAAACACGTTCTGTTTTTTAGGGAACAGAATGTCATTTTTTTTTGGAATAAAATACTTTGTTTTTTATTTCAATAAACGATTATACTACCGAGTCTGAACCTCCTGTGTAAATTTGGGCACTTCTCAAAAAATCTCCCTGTATAGATAACTAGCGAGCCGGACAGACGTTGTCCTGTATACACGACTTAAAGTTGACCACTTAGGAAAAAAAATTGTAGTGGACCGAATTGTGAATCTAAACCATTCCCAAATCGATCTGAAGACACACAAAAAATTTCATTAAAATTGATATAGCCGTTTAGGAGTTCAGTGACATAAACACGTATAGTAGAATATATATAAAGATTTAAAAAAACGATGGATTAGTCTTCTCACAAGCCAGCGCAGGCAAGCTACCCACATTTATTCCATTTCATAAAATATGTTATAAACCGTGTATTAAAAAATTAAACGTAAAGAAAGAATCTTCCCGTAGTACATTTTCATAATTTATAAAATATTTTTCAACAGGATTTTTTCTTAACAATAAAATACGTGCTTCCTTATACTACAGTAAGAAGATAATACATTGTGACTGCCCTTTATTCAATCTTAATGTAGCGCAATCCTTTCCGGAAGAAAGCATTATGAATACTTTAGCCAGTAATAAGCACTAGTCTGTCTGTCCATGGGCGTTCGTACCATAAAGGGTCCCTTTGTTATTATCATGTAATAACACTAGTATCAATATACTACCTTTACATAATATAAATAAAACAAAGACGTCGAGTATCAACCTTCTTATATTATTTACCATAAATTCAGTGTCGGTAATAATTTCAATAAATTTTAATTTCATTAAACTAATTCACATTATTTCGAACATATTATATATGTATTTGGAAATTCACGTAAAGTGGGTTCCACTTTACGTGACTCTATTTCTTCGAATGTTTTACAGTTATCACTAGATATTGCTTATTTACGTAGATCCGATTAGCAAAGAAGTGATGTCTTATCGAATCGTCCAAAATTATTTTTAATTATTTTCGGAAAGGTTGACACTGCTTACATACTAAAATAAGTAAAATAATTTGTAATAGTAATACTGAGTATTTTTTGGAACATTAATCATTTCAAAATCATATATAATTAAAACGTTTTTTTATTCGTTTTACACATTACAGTATTACATTTCACTCGTATTAGATCCTGACAGGGTTATAGTCGTCTCGTATAAATTTTCACACCACTTGCTTTTCATTCCACTGTAAGTATCTCTGCTGTTAAAACTTGACATGTTACTTAATTTTCACTGTACCGAATAAAGCATTTGACATAAAATATGTCTTCATCTGCCAGCTAATGTATAACACACACAGTTCCATATCTATCTGATACACAGTTCGGCTTATTCCATCGACGCACTTAGGCCGTTTTATTGTGAAAGCATGACGCATCAACACAAACCCGTTTGTCGCCGTGACGTGGCCTGACTAAGCCAGCGCTGAAGACTCATGGCCCCAATAGCGCTTTAAAATAATTAATTGAATCCTTAAACTCGTTCCGTGAAGTAATACCATGGAAGTGCTTCGAACTCTTCAAACCATTCTATTTGTCCGTCAGCCCTATGGGGTTACAATATATTGTCAATAATAGTGACCAC